AGAGTCGAAATATTCTTAAACTTTACAACAAACATAAAAAGTTGAAAGGAAAACAAAAACAAATGGCATATGATATTTATGAAGATGTTGACGACACAACTGTTCCTGCAGGTGAGGTAAGTCAGAGGAACCGAAAAGTGACGAAAAACCGATAGAAGAAGAAAAACCAAAAACTGAAGATAAACCAAAACCAAAGTTTAGTTTCCAAACTAAACCAAGTCAACCTTCATTAGCTGGTATGGGTTGGCGTCAAAGACTTATGGCAGCAGGTGGTTATGTAAAGTAAGAAAAAAAATATTTTTTTATTTTTATAAAAATGCCCCATATAGAATGGATAGAAAGTCTGCTAGATAAAAGCAGAGTTACAAAGATATGGTTGGAGAGTTTCGAAGAAGTTTAAATATAGGAAGGGGAAGACCATAAAAGTCTATGACAAATTGTCTGGTCTTCGCTACGAAATGGATTTGGAAACAGCACGTGCCAATTATCCAAACAGACTAGAGAGGTTTAGAAGAAGAACGTCTTATGAACATGCCTTTCGATGTTAGTGAACCTCAAGTTGAAGGACACGACGGCTTTGCCAGATTCTACTGGAAACATGACGAACAATTGCATCCTTTGAGAAGGAAAAAAGGAAAAGGTGAAGACGCACATGCTCCCATGGAAAGAACAAGATATGCATATGAAAGTATCGTGAGTTAGAAGTCAAATTACATCTGGTCGAACCTTTACAGTAAACTTTGACGAAGAAAGAACAAAGAAGGCTTCATGGGTGTACTTGCTGCAATTCAAGACGGAAATAAGAAAGGACACAATCTCAGATTGACCATAACGGATTTGGATGGTCACATTTACTATGCAAATGGCAATGAACAAACAGCCGCAAAACTTCTTGACGCTTTCAAGACTACAAAGAGAGAACAAATGGTTGACTCCGACTCAGACATTTTGAATGCAATTGAAGGAATTGCAAGTGTCAAGTTCGAATGGTACCAACCTAACCCTCAAGCCAGTCAGACAACATGCTGGATACTTCCCCTTCATAAATAAGTCTGACATTGACTTGACAAGGTATGGAATTTACAATTCAATTGAAAACAATGTCAACGAACCTTGCATTCTAACATGTCTCAGGAACTCTGGTCTTGTTACAGATGAGAAGATGAAGTATCTTGATCATGTGTGAAGACAAGGTACATTCTCAGAGGTCAATTGGCAAAAATTGCACCGTTGGCAAATGTCAATATCCGAGTCAACATACCTACAGCTAAAGGTTCTTCACATGACGACTATGTTGTTGAGTTCAATTTACCATGGTTGAAGATTGCAATTGTCCACAACCACTTCATGTTGAACGAAAGTCTTACAAACCATTGTTCGAAAAGGCAAGTGCAACATTGTCAGAGCTGTAAACATTCTTTTCGAGAAAGGTTTGTTGGAACCAATTCCAGATGACAAGCTGACAGAAACTTTTGTACCAAAAGACGAAACAAACTTTTCATTGTTAGCAAGACCAAAAGTTGTTCCAGACAAAGTTCTAGTACAAAAGAAGTACACAGTTCCACAAGGAGTTGGATTGTTCGGATACCAACCTGAACCAGAAGAACTTCCAATGAGGTTGCAAGAACTTCAAGATGCTATAAACAAACTTCCATTGAGACATCCAATTGACGTCAAATTGTATTGGAGAGCATCTGAGTTAGGTCAGAAGGTTTTATATGAAACAGGTTGCTTCGACGATGTTTATGAGATAACAGGAGAAGTTTCTCAGAAGATAAGAGACTCACTTGAATTTCCACAAACTGGACCAATTGGTTGCGACAAGTTCGACTCAAACGAAAAGATATACTATGTCGACCTTAACGCTGCATACATGAGGTTTGTCCAATATATTCCGACTGGAATTCCAAACGAAGATGGTGAGTTCCCGGAAGGAACTATACAGTTGGAAAAGTCATACAACAACTGTATGATATTAGGAAAGCTTCAAACCCCAAACTTGCAATGACACTCAAATTGCTTATGAATTCGACATGGGGATATTCATTAAGAAACCTCAAGAGATGAAGAGTAAACATTATGAGAAGGTCGACAACTTTGTTGAAAGGTTTTCTCCTTTTGTTTTGAAGTACGAATTCACTCAAGGTCAAAGTGGCTTAGTAACCACATTAAAACCTATTGTCGAACATTGGTCTTACCCTCAGTTCGCAAAGGCAGTCCTTGACAACTACAACAAATTCTTCTCCGAAGTCAAATCCAAAGTGAAGGTTTACTATGAGAACATTGACGCACTCATGACGAACGAAGAAGGGTACAACAAACTCATTGAAATGGGAATGGTCAGTGAAAAGATGGGCTGTTTTAAGCTAGATAAGGTATTTTCTGAAGTTCATGTCCTCTCCAAGCGTAAGTATTGGGGCATACTTGAAGACGGCACAGAAATAAAACATTGCATGAAATAAAAAATTTATTTTTAAAAAAGTGACATTTTTTAATTTTATTTGAAATGTACGCTGAGTTTGTTGGAGAAGACCGTTGGGAAACTTGTTTGTTAGATGAGAAATATGAAATGGCATACTATTTTAAAACAATATTTTTTACATATATTAAATGCTTCAGGTTGAAAAACAAAGAACAAAAGTAGCAGATACAAAACCGTTAGACTATATCTTTACAAATGCTGGTAGGACTATTTCAGATGAAGAAATTTCATCCCGAGCATACAGGTTTGACTATCCAATTCGTTGGCTTCAAAGTCCTTCAGATGCAAAGGCAATAGCATTTAGAAGAGTTTTGTTTTCAAATAGAACTAACGCATTTATGTTCGCAGTATATTTTCATGGGCAGTATAAAGGTTCTGATGGTCTAATAGACAAATTTGACGAAATGAGAATCTTTACAGTTTGTTCAGACGAAAGTCTTGAGAAAACTCTAAATGACTTTCAAACTCAAATGAACAAATATTATTGGGAATTTCAAGAAAAATACGACTCTTTACTAAATGGAACATACTATCTGAAACTAGAATATGACAAGAAACTCCACCGTTTCATTTCAAAAGATTGAAATTAACCCTCCAAGAGATACAGAGTTTTTATTTTGGAAAGTAGACAAACGTTCTTGGGCACAATTTCTTCGGTTACTAAACCAGAACGAACCATTACCACCAGATGGTCCATTTAAATTTATACTTCCACCAGCAGATTTGACAGTTTATAGAAACGTGTTTGACCCTCAAAATGTTATGTGTCATGCAAGTTTCAGTTCAAGCAACAATAGTTTTCTATGTATTGGTAAGGACTTTTATGACTTTGCTTCTAAATACTACGAACCACCTAGTAACAGTTTCTCTGACTTTCAAGTTTGGTTCACAACAAATGGTGTGCAACATATTATTCCATTGTACTATGACTTTTATCTCGAATTGTCTTTCATATATAACTACGGAAAAGTGCTGAAAAAGTATTGAATGTGAAGATATTAGAAAATAACATTTTTTCTAACATCGTAGAAAACTCATGAATTTGTCATGATTTCATCGTAAATGTTTTGTCAAGACTTCTTCGTACATGTTTTGTCAAGACTTCTTCGTAAATGTTTTGTCAAGACTTCTTCGTAAATGTTTTGTCAAACATGAACGTACATGCTTTGTCATGATTTCATCGTAAATGTTTTGTCAAACATGAACGTAAATGTTTTGTCAAGACTTCTTCGTACATGTTTTGTCAAGACTTCTTCGTACATGTTTTGTCAAGACTTCTTCGTACATGTTTTGTCATGACTTCTTCGTAAATGTTTTGTCAAGACTTCTTCGTAATGAGTGTAAAGGACCCAAAAATAATGTTTAGGTGAAGTGGTGCGATCTCACCTGTTTTTTCACCTCTTTCTAACCTCTTGAATTTGTCATGAATTTCCTTAAGATAGAAAAAATAAAGTTAGTTTTATTTCATTTATTTTGTATGTAAGATATGATTTCAGGGATTTTTTTGACGAAGTGTCAACGTTCACTTCGTCAAAAAATAACAGTTATATAATGAAAAAGTGTCATTTTTTTGTATTTTTTTGTATGTAAGATATGATTTCAGGGATTTTTTGACGAAGTGTTACTCTTCACTTCGTCAAAAAATAACAGTTATCTAATGAAAAAGTGTCATTTTTTTTCATCGTAAATGTTTTGTCAAGACTTCTTCGTAAATGTTTTGTCATGACTTCTTCGTAAATGTTTTGTCATGACTTCTTCGTAAATGTTTTGTCAAGACTTCTTCGTAAATGTTTTGTCAAGACTTCTTCGTAATGAGTGTAAAGGACCCAAAAATAAAGTTTATGTTAACATGTTAGATCTAACATGTTTTCTAACATGTTTTCTAAAACTCTCGAAAATCATGAAATTTACAGCAAAAATATAATTTATGTTAGCATGTTAGATCTAACATGTTTTCTAACCTCTTGAATTTGTCAAGACTTCTTCGTAAATGTTTTGTCATGACTTCTTCGTAAATGTTTTGTCATGACTTCTTCGTAAATGTTTTGTCAAGACTTCTTCGTACATGTTTTGTCAAGACTTCTTCGTAAATGTTTTGTCAAGACTTCTTCGTACATGTTTTGTCATGACTTCTTCGTAAATGTTTTCGTTATGCCACTTTGTGCCGTCAGTCAGTCAGTCAGTCAGTTTAGGAAATTTACACCAAAAAATAATGTTTAGGGTAGAAGGTTAGATCTAACCTCTTTTCTACCCTCTTGAATTTTCATGAATTTTCATGATTTCATCGTACATGTTTTGTCATGACTTCTTCGTAAATGTTTTCGTTATGCCACTTTGTGCCGTCAGTCAGTCAGTCAGTCAGTCAGTTTAGGAAATTTACACCAAAAAATAATGTTTAGGGTAGAAGGTTAGATCTAACCTCTTTTTCACCCTCTTGAATTTTCATGAATTTTCCCGAAATAAAAAATAAAGTTAGTTTTATTTTTTTTATTTTTTTATTTTGTATAAAAAAATAAAAATGTCAACAATCGGCACAACAACACTTCAAACAACTACAGCACCAAACTCGTTAGTCATGAATCCAACGTCAATGTTAGTAGAGATGAAAAGCTTCATTCCTTCTTCATATACTTTCGAAACAGAAATCCAGAAGATAAAGCAAGAACTTTTAACATGTAATTTAGACTGTAGTGCGAAAGATGAAGAAAATGAAGAATATCTTTATGAAATGCAGGACCTCATCGACCATTTACCCAAATTGCCTGAAATTCAGCAGCAAAAGCTCACTATTCCTGAATTCGATGAAATAGAAGTCAAAGCAACTGACTCAGTAGAAATAAAGAAGTTCATTCGTAAGGTAAACTATGAGTTTCTAGGATTTCATTGCAACCATAAGGTTATGGACAAAGATTGCGACATGGTATATAAGAATGTTTCTGACATATATAAATCTGAAGAATTTAAGACCTACGACAACTTTGTTTCGTTAGTTGCTGAATGTGTATGGCAGATAAGAGATAAAGATAAAAGATGTAAAATATGGAACGAACAAATAAGACCCGCTATGTTTGAGATGAAGAGAGCAATTGACGCTTTAGTTGTTTTAGCAGGTAAGGTTTCAGAATATAACGCAAAAATGAACCCGCAATGTTCTAAATGTAAAGCAGCAATTAGGAAATATAACTACTCCGTCAAAGAGATAGAAAGAATGAGAAACGACTATGCAGATTTAAAGAAAGAAGCAGAAAAGCCAGCAGAAGATAAAATGGACATGTTAGCATTTCTGAACAAAAACTATCCAACTGCTGACGATTTCCTTCTATCTGACGTCAAGAAGAAGTATAAAGAAACCTTCGGCATAGTTAAAACATTCGATATCCTCAGCGAAGAAATAGAAGCTACAAAACTGTTTAGAGTCATGAACCATCGCAACATATACCATGTAAAACGCTTGTAAATAGTTATGTTAGAAAACGTGTTAGAAAACGTGTTAGATCTAACATTCTAACATAAAATATATTTTTGTCTGATTTACGCTCATTACGATAAGTCTTGACAAAACATGTACGTTCATGTTTGACAAAACATTTACGAAGAAGTCATGACAAAACATGTACGAAGAAGTCTTGACAAAACATGTACGAAGAAGTCTTGACAAAACATTTACGAAGAAGTCTTGACAAAGCATGTACGTTCATGTTTGACAAAACATTTAAGTTCGATGAAGTCTTGAAAATTCATGAGTTTTGTGTGTTTTAGACCATGTTAGAAAACGTGTTAGATCTAACATGCTAACATAAAATATATTTTTGCTGAAAAATGACACTTTTTCATTATATAACTGTTATTTTTTGACGAAGTGTCAACCTTCACTTCGTCAAAAAAATCCCTGAAATCATGTCTTTACATACAAAATAAATGAAATAAAACTAACTTTATTTTTTATTTCGGGAAAATTCATGAAAATTCAAGAGGGTAGAAAACAGGTGAAAAAACAGGTGAGATCTAACCTTCTACCCTAAAAAAATATATTTTTGCTGAATTCAGCACAAAAATCTGAGTAAAATGGCATATGTTTGCTACCCTCGGAGAACCGAGGGTAGAGATTCCGTACGAAAACAGTGAAGAACAGCGAGTACGTAAGAAAACGTAGTCGCCAAAACTCTATGAAAACAGTGAAATTTCCTTAAGATAGAAAAAATAAAGTTAGTTTTATTTTTATTTATTTTTTTATCTTGTATGTAAGAACATATATGACAAACAATGAGTTTGAAACAGTTAAAAAGATAGACAATGACACCAAAGTGGTTAGAATAGGTGATTTAAACGTAAGATACTCAAAGAAATACAACAAATATTCTTTGTCAGACATTTTATCTCCATCTGGAAAGAAAACATACCATTGGGTTAGAAATGCTTCAACTCAGAAAATTTTGACAAGAAATCCTGAGCTTATGATATCGGTAAGATTCTATGGAACTACAGCATATCTCATCGACAAAAGTCTTATACCAATAGTTTTGTTATGGTTAGACCCAGTTGTTGGATATAACTTCATAACATATGGTTCATTCGATACGGAACGTTGCAGTGAAGGCTTACTTTACATCGTTCAGAAACCGAAGGACTTCAATACAAAGAGATATAAGATAGGAAGAACATATAATATAACTCAAAGATATGACAGTACAGTCAATATAGTCAAGGTTGTGTTTGCTAATGATATGAGAGCTGCTGAAACAGAACTACTTGAAAAGTTTGAGAAAATGTATGGTGCTCCCACGAAAGGTAAAGAAACGTTTGAAGTAGATGAGATAGATAAAGCTATAAAATTATTTGACGAAGTTGCTGAAAAATACATGTAAAGCGTTTATTTTTGGTCTTTTGTGAAAGATAGAAAATAACGCTAAAATTTGACGAAGTGTCAACCTTCACTTCGTCAAAAAAATCCCTGAAATCATGTCTTTACATACAAAATAAATGAAATAAAACTAACTTTATTTTTTATTTCGGGAAAATTCATGAAAATTCAAGAGGTGAAAAAACAGGTGAAAAAACAGGTGAGATCGCACCTCTTCACCTAAACATTATTTTTGTCTGATTTACGCTCATTACGAAGAAGTCTTGACAAAACATGTACGAAGAAGTTTTGACAAAACATGTACGAAGAAGTCTTGACAAAACATGTACGAAGAAGTCTTGACAAAACATGTACGAAGAAGTCTTGACAAATTCAAGAGGGTAGAAAAGAGGTGAAAAAACAGGTTAGATCTAACATTCTAACATAAACATTATTTTTGCTGAATTCAGCACAAAAATCTGAGTAAAATGGCATATGTTTGCTACCCTCGGTTCTCCGAGGGTAGAGATTCCGTATGAAAACAGTGAAGAACAGCGAGTACGTAAGAAAACGTAGTCGCCAAAACTCTATGAAAACAGTGAAATTTCTCTAGACCGACTTTTTTCGGTCTTGCATAAAACACATGAAAACAGTGAATTTCCTTAAGATAGAAAAAATAAAGTTAGTTTTATTTTTATTTATTTTTTTATTTTGTATGTAAAGACAGATATGTCAACATCAGAGAACACAACAACTGCTATCGTTCATGAAGCCATAAATGAAGAATATGAGTACATACAGTTTAACAAACAGTTACGTCTCATTCGTTCGGTCAAAGACGATATGTACCAGATGCAAAGTATTTTGACGGCTTGTTTTGCTCCAGACACTAAGCTTCCTAAAGACTGGTTTAGGAACCAAAGCACCATTGAACTCTTAAGCGAAGCACAGCGAGACATACTTTTTTCTGAAAACAGTGAAGAACAGCGAGTAGGTAAAAAACCCCAGTCGCCAAAACTCTATGAAAACCGTGAAAAATTGCCAAATGGTTTGAGAGGTTGGTATGTACATAGACTTCTTGTAAATGCTGTTGCAATGTGGGCTTCGCCTCGTTATGCTTGGAATATTTACAGACTTCTTGACGAAATTCATAGACAAGAACGTGAAGAGCTAGAGAACAAGCTTGAAGCAAAAGACAAAAACATTCAGAAAAGAATACCACGTTCGGTACCAAAAGGAAAGGAAAAGAACTATAAGTATATGATTTATACTGAAGAGATGGAAAATGAAGAAGATAAAGATATGGTTATGTTGCATTTAGTCAGAAGAAACAACAAAAGCTTTTACGACCTTGCTAAGATTTACAAATCTGACAGAAATTGGTTCTATCGCGAAAACTTACCGATTTCAATGACCCCAAATGAAGATGTGAAACAAATAGTTCAAGATACGTTACCTCAAACACACTATGATATGAAAGGTTGTACAATACTTACCTTCAAAGAAGATTTGCCATTGTTAAAGGAAAAAATAACAGAGTATTTTGACAACTTCAAACAAGTAGAGTAGATGAACCATTTATTTTTCAAGCTTGACTTCAGATGGCTCAGGTAGCTCTATAAAGTAAATTGCCTTGTCAAATCCTTCTGGCATTCCGAGTCCTTCCTTCCGACAGGAAAAAATTTTCCTTCCGACAGGAAAAAAAATTCCTTCCGACAGGAAAAAAAATTCCTTCCGACAGGAAAAAATTTTCCTTCCGACAGGAAAAATTTTTCCAGTTGTCCGTCCGTAAACCATTCAAATTTTCGAAAATTGAGAACTTTTTGGTCGAACTTCAGAAAAAGTTTTTCCTTCCAACAGGAAAAGTTCTTCCTTCCGACAGGAAAAGTTCTTCCTTCCGACAGGAAAAGTTTTTCCTTCCAACAGGAAAAGTTCTTCCTTCCGACAGGAAAAGTTTTTCCTTCCAACAGGACACAAACGAATGTCTCACGTCCCTCTTCCTGAATGCCTTCCAAAGCCAGAAGAACCGACAGCCCCAGCACCACAACAGACTTACTAAGACTAAACACTTACATTTTTCAAGCTTGACTTTTTACAATTTGAACTTTGTTCGCGTAGATATGAATTCTGAAAGAAGTATGAGGGTCTTGTATGACTTTATACTTCTCCCATAGTTCATATCTGTCAAACTTACCTGCCATGGACTCTTTCATAAGTTCCATGAAATCGTCTTCGGACAATCCGGGGAAAAGTATAATGTCAGTAAGTATTCTTTTAACATCCTTACTTAAACTCTTGGCTGTCTGTACACATATTACGACTGAGATGTTAAAGTGTCTGAGCTTCTTAAGAATTCGACACATATCTTGTTCTCTGTTCTTTAACAAAGGATGAGAGGCGAAATCATCTAAGATAAGAAGACATCTGTGAGGGTATGTCTTCCAATCGTAAGATTGCAATTTCTTCGAAATGTATTCTATCTCTTTCTGTTTGTTTCTGAAGTGGTGTTTGTCTAATATTCTCTGCATTTCCTCATTTGGGTCTTTAAACTTCGAATTTATATACTCATTTATAGCATTGTACTTCAAAACTCTTCTTTGGTACTTCTTTATCCAATCTAACAACTCAGTATCCTTTATACATACTAACTTAGACTTCTTTATAATATCTTTGAACGAATTGACGGTTTGGTCAAATTGACCAGAAGTACTACAAATAACAACTAACTCATAGAATGGGTTCTTCTCATCTAGTTCTTGTTGTTGTGCAGCCATTTTAAGATAAGTGAAAGTCTTACCCGACCCAGGTGGTGCAATTAGACCTGTTATACCATTCTGAGCAAATAAGAACTTGTCATGTATAGGCTTTATCTGAGCATTTTCTAACTTCCTCTTGTTCTTGTTTAAAACATTCTCAAATTTCTTGTCAATGTCAGCAAACTTTTTTTCTAACATATTTTTAGAAAAATTAAAATTTTTATCTTTTAGAAAATGTCTAGCGATTTCGCTATCTATATTCGAGACAAGCTTTTCGACAGCAAAACATCTGTCGACCATAAAATCTTACATAGTGTAAACAAGAAAGGTGAATTTGTTCTAAAGTTCTGTTTCTGGGAATATGACAAGAACCATAAAACATTAAGCAGAGCAGTCTTAAAATTTGTCAATGACAGACTTGTTGACAGAGATGACGCCTCTTGGAGAGATGAAGTCCAACAAAACTTCTTAGAATGCAAAGAAGACACATGCGCTGTTCTTGAAGATGAAATAGAAAACAGAATAGATGAGCTATTAAAGGACAAAGAACTTTTACATAAATATGGTTCTGAGAAATTTGACATAACTCCACCAGAAAAGAAGAAGAGAGAAAAGAAAGAAAAGAAAGTAGAAGAAGAGAAGAAAGAACCTGAACCAGTTCCAGAGAAAAAGAAATTTGACATGTAAAAATAAAATTTTATTTTTAGAACATTTCTGGGTCAATGTCAATGTTCTCTTCCTCTTTAGGAGTAAACACTGGCTTAGACTCTAAAATCTTTTTACCCAATTTACCTTGAACTTCTACAACTTTAGACTCATAATATTCATAGTCGTCTGCTTTCTTTGGTTCATAAGGTATAACAAGTTTGTATGCTTTGCCTTCTTTAAGGTTTGAAAACCTTCTGTCAAAACTTTCTTTGACTGCTAACAAACCTTCTATGTATAAGTCTTCAAATTTCGCACCATTTTTAGTCACAATAGCAAACTTAACTGGTTCGATGTTCCAAACTTTGCTGAATGAAGACTTTTCAAAATGGTAGAAGTAAACATTCAAATATGTGAATGGGTCTAGTTCTTCTTTAAGTCCTGACATGTACTTGTTTACTGAGATGAATTTTGCCATCTTTTCTATCGGATAAAAAAATATTTTTTTAAAATTTACTCATAAAAAATTTTCTTTGTATATACACCATTCTGAACATCTAAAAGACTTTTGACATTTGCCAAGAATGTTCGTTTAGAAGCTGTCATATAACCATATTCTTGACAATATTGTTTATACGAATCGTACAATGACCTTTCATCTAATGACACAAAGTCAGTTTCATCTATGAACAGTTCATATACACTCTTGTTTGCTTCTAACAATGTTTGTCTCTCTTCTGTATGTGGAATTTGTCTTGGATTGAACTTTGAAATATCTAATGTCATAAAATATGAGAACAAGTGGTTGTAAAAGTCAGATGTCAAAGTTTCTGCTAAGTCGTCAAAATATTCTGTATCTTGCATATGAGAATCTGACGTTCTGACAACTACATATCTTCTGTCAGAACTTTCTAACTTCATCGGAACAGCATTGTTTGAAACCATAATGAAGTTTGCAACATTTTCACAAACTCTTTGGTCTTTATATTTTCTTTCAACAACTCCAACTTTATCTGTTATAAGACTCTTCAAAGCATCTGAGTTTAAAACTTTTGTTGTATCTATACTTTGAAGTTCATTGCAAACTATAAGTTTCATATTCTCTATTGAGGAGTTAAACTTGCCACAGATGTTTTCTATGTTTGTCATATTCGGGTTCGAATAGCCTCTAACAGTTTTGCACAAGATATCTGTAAAGAATGTGTTCTTACCTGTTCCTTGTTTTCCAATTATAATGAGAGCAGTTTCATTTTTAGCACTTGGATGTTGTAAGATGTTTGCAAACCAACATAAGATATACTCATAGACTCTTTCGTTTCCATTGCATATAATTTCTTTGACATGGTCTAACCAAGCTTCTATAATATTTTCTTTCCATTCTACTTGTTCATATTTATATCCAGTGAAGATAGAATAGAAGTTTGGAGAAGGTGTATAAAACTTTATACCTCGAACTGAAAAATCTTCAAGTTTTGACAATAAGATATCCCAAGCATCTAACATCTTCATGCCAACTTGTACAACTTTTATTTTCTTAAGTTTCTGTCTACATTCTTGTTCTGAAACTATTGTTGCTCTTGGTTTGTTAAAGACAACATCCCATTCTTTCATAACATAACATTCTGGGGCAGAGTCGACATAAATGACTAAACGTTTCAAATTCTCGACTGCTTTGTTATAGTCTCTAAATGGACACATATTTCTGAATGCTTGGAAGTCATAAAAATCTGAAACATCTATTCTGTACATTTTTATAAAAATAAAAAAAAATATTTTTTTTATTCTTGACTTTGTTGTTGCATTTGTTGCATTTGTTGCATTTGTTGTTCTTGAGCTATTTGTTGTTGAAGTTGTTCTTGTAATACAATACTTTCACCAGTTGCATCTTCCAATTCGAAACTTTCTGCCGTCATTGACAAATACATAGGACATAAAAGTTTTACAGGAACAAAGTTTGCGTCAACTAATGTCAACGTTATACTTGCCAAAGTGTTTGAGTTCACTAAGGTTGAAAATTCTGCATTCGAATGAACAATAGGCAAACCAGCAGAGAAAGTATTGTTTATACGCATAAGTATCTTTTGGTCATAATAGTTTCTGTCGACATTCGAATAACACTTTGAACCTAAGTTTGAAACAATATATAAGATTGGTGTGCTTAATGTCAATGGAATAGACATTCCTTGTATGACACTTTTTCCTGTTATAGGAAACTGTTGGTAGTAAAAACCAGAAATAAGTTTTGTATTATAGCTCATATCGTTTATAGTAAACTCAGTCGGACATCCAAACATAATGAAACCTGCTCTAGTTGCAGCACATGTTACACCCGTACTTAAAGTATTAAATAAGTCAACAAAACCTGTTGGTGGTATATCTGAGTAAGTATCTTCAAAGGAGTATTTTTTACCATTCACAACAATAAAGTCTTCTGGTGTCAAAAGAGCAAAACAGGCTTTAGTCGTCATTGTGTTTAAAGTTAGTTTACAATACCGTCCTTGAGGACTTTGTAAGTTTGTTGTTATAGAATTATATGACTCAGGGTTTTTAGTCGTAATAGTATAAACCATTATATCTTCTGCCATTTATATATATTTAAAAGTTTTTCTGAAAGTGGAGAAGAACTTCGTCTAAACTTTCACATGGCGTTTCTTGAAGTTCTCTGTCTAAGAAGTTCAAATATTTTGTAAAGACATAGAACTTTCCTTTGTCTACACGAACAAACAAAACAGGGTCTTTCATATCGTTCAAAAGTGTGTAAAGTCCTTTACATGAAATAAAGTCTATATTATTTTCTTCAAACATCTTTCAAGAAGTTTTGACATTTTACTTAGCAAATAAACTTTAATGAAATGTTGTGGTCGTCAAATATTTTTATGACGTCTGGGAAACTATACTTTAAGTTCAACGTTTCACCTCCTTTCATAACGTATATCTTGTCAATGACATTATATGAAACACCACAGCAACTAATGTCGGGTTCTATTTCTTTGATGTTTATATCGTCTGCCTCTGTCAAAAGTTTCAATAGTTCTTTCAAAACTTCATGAGGTGCAATGACATATGAGTTCACTTTTACAGGGTTGTGTTCGACCAAGTTTAACATTATACTTAAAGCTTGACAAATCTTCTCCTGAGTTTGAAGTTTGTCTTTAAGTTGTTGGTAGTCGTTTCGAATATCTGCAACAGAACTTAAGTCTCTGCTAACTTCAGGATATGTTGGTTCTTTTACAGGAACAATTGTTATACCATCTTCGTCTTCGTATGGTTTCCCCACTTCAACATCTCTGTCTTTGACATTGACAACAATACTTTGACTGTTTGTTTGAGTTGGTGAATTTAACTTCACATCTGCCACCGCCATTAAACCTTTTGAAACACTTACGCTTTTATTTTTCGGAAATGACATTTTACTTAGAATAAAAAGATGGACGTATTCGAGTATCTTATTGAATTGAAGCAGAACAAAGTTTACACACACAAACAATACAAATACATTGACAGAATAGTTCTTTATACAAACAATGGTAAATGTTATAGAATAGCAGTCTTTGCTGAACCAAAATATTTTCATAAAGCAAAGAAAGTTGGTATAACTGAAATGGTGAAAGTTCTTGACGTTGACAAAAATATAACAACAAAACTTACAGATATTTCTAAAGGTAAGTTTATCTTACAATATTATGTCAAAACTGGCGTACTGTCAATATTTGACGGAGAGAAGTCAGTTCAAGAACAACTTACTGACCTGCTGCCAAAATCTGCTCGATGGAAGCTGTCGTTATGCCAATCTGAGGAGCCCCAGCAGGTTTCATCGAACGAATCTTCAAAAGAGCATCTTCCGTGAAAAGTGCTATTGGTTTTGTAAACTTCTTTGCTCTCAGTTCATCTGGACCGTCTCTGTCACCAGTATATTGTATTTGTACAGTACCAACAGTTGAAATACCACCCATAAAGTCTTCTGAGTCAGCAAATGGAATGCCAAGCCAAAAGTTTGAACGGTCTCCATTTGTATATTGAGTTTTTTGACCTCCTGTATGAGTCCATACTTTCACATATGGCATAATAGAACTTTGCATTTCAGGGTTAATGGTTGTTGTGAAGTTGTTGTTAAAGTTCATAGCATCTAATGTCAAGTTGTATGACCTCATATCCTCAACTGTAGAATATTCTTCTCTTGGATAATATTTGCCATCTATGTTTATATGATATTTAATACCGGGGTTGTAGAAACAAGAATAGTCATTTATAGTTCGTCTGAACAGTACAAACATAGTATCTGCATGTTTCATTGCAGTTGTTAAAGCAATATCTGTTCTTGCACCTGGGTCAGCACTTTGGTTTCCAACTTCACCTGCAAAGTCTTTGACAGATATTTGGTGTATAGGGAACATAAGTGGAACTGCAATATATTTGGCAGCTAAAGCATTTGAAATATCTGGGTCCAACATATAGACTGCAAGTCTGCTTTCTATTCTCTTGCATTCAAACTTTTCGCATGTGAACTTAACTGGGTCCCAAGCAGTTCCAGCAGCATTGAAATAATAGTTTACTTCATTGTTGAAGTTTGAGAAACCAAAGTCTAAGTCAACCTTGTCTTTGCAAAAGTCGGCGAATGACGTTTTATTTGTTCCCATTACGTCTGTAAGAGTGAATGGGTCTTGTGTTGGTGCAATGACTAAGTTATTTTTGCTTGGAGTAAGTTCGATAGAAATTTTTCCTGCCCAGTTTGGCAAGTATCTTAAAAACCTGAAGATGAGGAAAGATGACAAAGGAACTCTAAGTTTCAGTTTTACTTTAGTGGCAGCAGTTCCATCTGAACCAGAAAGGTTAACATAAACTCCTGGAACGTTAGGGTCAAGTCTTCTTATTTTCTCAATATTTGCATACTGGTCTGTTTGTTCTCTAGCTTGTGGTTGTACTGAGTTTCTCAAAGCGAACCATTCATAGTTTGCCCATGTTACTGTTTGAACTAAGTCAGAGTTAGAATATATCTTATATCCCATGAAAACTTCTGGAGCATATTGGTATCCGACATAGAAAATTCCATTGCAACCTTTCTTGTCAGACAACTTGGCAGAAGGTTTTATTTCAATGTCTTGTTCCACGTATAAGAATGAGTTGTCAATAGAAATAATATGAAACCTGTCGCAAGCAATATCTACTGTTGTTGAAGAACCTTCTCCAAACTCACCTACATTTCCATAAGAAACAGTAGTTGTATATTCGTAAGTTCCAGGAACTATTTCTGACCTTCTAATGGCATTGTCGCATTCGTTATACCATTCGGAAACATTTCCGTTCATGGCATCCAAAACTGTTGGCGTTATATTCTGAGCGGCGTACATTTCATATGGGTAAAAATATAGAATAGTTGAATTTATTTGTCATAATTGTTTCGTACCAAGCTTTACTTTCTTCCTGACTGAGTTTTTAACTCTTCTTTTTCCTTCATTGCCACTACTTTCACTAGATGAAGTTACTTCTTCACTATTTTCACTTTGTTCTACTCTTCTTCTTTGGTGTCGCTTTTGGTAACTTGCCCTCTGCTTCAAGTTGTTGCATCTTTGCCTCATGTTCACCTAGTATGTTGTAAATTTCACGTGTCCTTTTTGCCTTTGGGCTCTGGTCGCCCATCTCAGGTAACCTATATCCTAGAAAGATTTTGTCATAGTTTGTATTTGAGTCTTCGCGTATTGTTTGCATGACTCTTTCCTGAGTTTCCGGTTCAAGCTCTTCAAACAGAGCTTGTCCATATGGAATATGCTCGTTTCCAAATATATGTTTTTGTAGCCATTCTGGTTTTCTTTCCATGTTACCAATAATATCTTTTGTGAATGGGAAAGCTTTTACCCAATGTTTCAGTCTTGCGTCATTTATTTCTGTAGTTTCCAAAGGAGGGACTTGTTCGTTTCCTTCAGGCTCTTCTAGCTGTTGTTGCTGAACTATTTCTTCCATGTCTGGTTGTATCTGAACTTCTTCCTGTGGAGTTTCTTGTACCTCATCTGCTGGCATTTCATATATTCCGAGACCGTTTTTAAAAAGTTCCCTATCTAAGTCATCCGGACTCATAAACCTTTCTTCTTTCGTTCCGTCTCTATTTTTTACGCGTTTCATGAAGAGAGTTGAATTATCATTTAGCTCTGACACCAAATATCTCGGAGTAAATTCATTCATGTCATTTGGATGATATGCTATTAAATCATATCCCTTAGCGAGCTTGTATTTTCCAGGTTTGAAATTATATCCCATTTGGTGCTGAACCATAAAGCTAAATAGGTTCGGGTCAGTATTTCCTTCCTTGAACTTTCTAATAGCTTCTTTATATCTGTCACTAAAGTCAAGAGTATCTGGGTAACCATAGTCTTCCTTAAGCATTTTTAAGAATTCTTGGTTTCCTTGTTCTCTACTTCTTTTATGTCCTTGCTCTGTTTGTGGTTGTTGCTGTGCAGTGTTTTGAACTGTTGGTTGTGGTGCAGTGTTTTGAACTGTTGGTTGTGGTGCAGTGTTTTGAACTGTTGGTTGTGGTGCAGTGTTTTGAACTGTTGGTTGTTGTGTTGGTTTTGGTGCATGCCTGTGTCTGTGTCCATGTGACGATGTAAATGTTTTAGGTAGTCCTGGTGCAGGTGCTTCTCTTGGAGGGTTTGGTGGTATATAAGTTCCACTAGCTAGTATATAAGTTCCACCAGCTGGTATATAAGTTCCACCAGCTGGCACATATGTTCCATCTGCAGCATAATGTCCTACCTGACTTTTCGTTTTTAAGAAAGCATTTACTAGGTCTGTTTTGGTCTGTTGTAACTCTTTTTCTTGACTTTCCACAACAGTTGCTCTAACGGCGTCATAGGCACTTTGAACTGCCTGTCTCGTTGCTGCATCTGTTATTTTCGTCATATTTTGTGCTACTTCTCTTAACTCTTTGTCGAAACCTTCAGACTTCAGTTTCTTTCCAGATGAGAAGTCGTTCACTAGTTTCACCTTACTATGAAGAGCTTCGAAGGCGTTCTTAAAGTCAGCATTCATTAAAGCTTCATTTGAACTGTCTTCATCCGCTTGTATTTTTGTCCTTATTGACCCTATAAGTTGGGCTGCTTTGGCGTTGGCTTGGGCATCTAACCAGTCATTATTAGCTTTTATATATTCTGAGCTTTTCATTGCCTTTTGCATGGCTGCGTCGTTATTTTTACTTTCTTGTGCTAAGTTTTCATACTGTACGGTTTGGTTTTGCAACTGTAAAAGTTTTTCTGCCTTTACATTTGCTTCAACTTCTTTTTTATACTCATCGCTATCCATATATGTCTTCAGGGCTTTTTGTTTTATTTCTTCATCTTTCAGTACTTTATATTGAGTAGTATGGTTTTTCAAATTTATAACATCTTGTTCCATTTTTGCTACTTCTGCTGCTTTTTCTGACACTTTTTTCGCATATTCCTCTGTACTTAGTTCTTTCAGTTGTTCTTCTTTCTTCTTTTTCTACGTTTAACTCATTGAGTTTCTTTGTGTGTCTGTCATATTCTAGTTTCTTTTCGTTTTCACTTATTTGTTTCTGTATGTCTATGTTTGACTTTTTGACATCTGTTATTTGATTTTTGAGTGAACTCAAATTCATTTGACTTTGAGGGTTATAAGCTGTTCCGTCTGCAGCTCCACCAAAGCCTGCCATTTTCGCTAAAAGTGCCGCTCTTAAACCTCCACTCTGTGCACCAATAACTCGGTTTAAAAGCATAGGGTTGCTTGACATTTGTTGCAACATAGCGGGGTCATTCATAATTTGTTGTTGCAACTGTTGTTGTGGTGTCAGTTTTACTATTGGATGTTTCAATGCTCTCTTCCTCTTACGTATATTCTTACGTAGCTTACGTGGCATTTTAAGTGAAGTAAAAAACGGTTTTTGACAGATGTTTATATGACACTTTTTGTTCAGCACAAAAAACTACTCGGTCAACGTGTTGTTAGTTTTGTAAAATAACCGTCCTATCTTGTTTTAAAATGGAGAAAAGGCTTCTCAAAGTATACTTCCTTGGAACGCCCGTAACTTTTCCTGTAGCGACGATAGACCCTTACTTGTCCGGACAAAGTTATACTAAACTTTTTATGGGCTAGAGGGCACGAAGTGCCTGGAAGGCCATCCCAAGAAAAAAAAAAAACTTCATTATACTAAACATCTTCAGGGCTAGAGGGCACGAAGTGCCTGGAGGCCCCACTACCTTTTTTTTTTTTTTTTTTTTTATATTCATAAAGATTTTCCAAAAATATGATACCGCAAAATTAAAAAAGTGACGTCTTGAGTGGAGTCAAAGGTCGAAATTGCTAGCTAAATGTTTTTTTAGCGAAATTGCGTATTGTACGTTTTTTTCGCAAAACGAAACCCTTAAATCTAATAAAAAGTAACAGGACGAAAGTGACGTGGTTAACGTCATTTTTCATTGCTCGTTTCGGCTTATTGTTTCTTGTCAATACCTTTAGAATTATTAATGCAGACACGAGTCATTATTAGTTAGTTTGTGTTACTATCATACATGCCTCTTATATTATGCACTAATTATGAGTAATTAAGATTTTTTTTATTGATATATTATCTCATGAGACAAATTTTGCAAATATTGCGTAAACCTTTATTTATGTCTAAGAATTTACTTCAGAATATAGACCCTTTGTAAATAAAACTTTGTAATTTTTGATTTGTATTAATACTCAACCGGAATTGGAAATTCGTTTTTTCTTTCTAATCACTTTTGTTTTTTGTTAGTCAGAGCGCTATTGATCGTTATTGAGTCTATTTAATCCTATGATAACCAAAAAAATTAGCGACCAACTAATTTTGGTATGGAAAAGACTTGAAATTCTTTAGATTATTGTTTCTGAATATGATCGAAAGTATATTTCAATCACTTCAAGGCAAGGATAAAAATTTGGCCAAAATTTTCAAAAAGGAGTCTTTGATCATATAACTTGGTTTCATGTGATTGAGATTAGATTTAACTCAGTTCATTTAACAAAGAATATTCATTAAAATTTCAAGTCAAATGATTAATTTGTAGAATTACAACATTAAGTAAAGACTTTAAGAGTCATTATCACAAATAAAGTTAAAATTAAAAGATATTTACAATAATATAATCAAAATCATTGAAATATATTTGAATTTAGAATGATATTTACTATTACTTTCAAAATATGTCCTTGTTTGTCATTTTAAAAATAATGAATTTTTAATAATTGACTCAAAATATACAATTTTTTATTCAAAATTCAAATTTTTGAATTTTTTTTATATCTAAAAACCAATTTAAATAGTGAGATATAATTTTATTTCCTTTTTGCTTTCGATTAATCATCAAAGATCTGCAAAACATCGATAAAAAAGATATTCCATGAATATGAACAGTGAAATACTGATTGTACATTGAATAATTATTAAGAACAAATCATGCTGTTTACATTTTTAATAGTAAATCCATTCATATACATTTAAAAACAAACAAATATCATTTTATAACAAAAACTAATCAGACAAAACTAACTTAATGAACAAAAATTAGATTCTTTGATGTCCATCTTTCCAATAAATGTTGAAAGATGTGTTATTAGCTAGTTTGAATAATTGCGTAAATTTAGGAGGATTTCCTGGTGATAAACTACAATAAGCAGCCTTATTAGGAGTTCCATTAGTTGAGAATGACGATGAGTACAAGGTTACTACTGATTTATCAGGAGGGAAAGCGTATTTAAAGCCATCAAAAACAGCTTGATGAGCTCTAATAATATAGGAGATCGAGTTTTCTTCCATGAACTTTTTTGCAGCTTTCGCTCCCCAAACGACCGTGTTTCCTCTCTGATTCGGACCCCATTCTTGAACTTGACAGTTCGGATCAGACCAGAGTAAGTCTACTAAGTAACCGTTTTCTGGTGTCTTTAGTGGGCGCTTTATTGATTGAATTTGGGAGATTTTAGTGTAGCCTTGACTGAGTCCACCATGAATACACCAAATTTTCTCATCTACTAGTGCAGCAATAGGCATTTCATCGAATACTTCTGATATTAAGATTAGAGCTGAAGAAAAGAGCTTCGCTTTGCATTCTTTGGTGAAATCAGTTGGTTCTGCAAAATTGATGGTTTCATGGTTCCCGCGAAGTAGAAAAATGTTATCTGGGTATAAAACTTTTAATGAGAATAACAGTAGAAGCAACTCAACACTTTGTGGGCCGCGATCTATATAATCCCCTAAAAACAAAAATTTATGTTCAGGAGGTGTTCCTGCAGTCTGAAATATGTGTAATAGGTCTTTGAGATTGCCATGAAGGTCACCTACAACAATAAGTGGGGATTTTAAATGATATACTGTTGGATCTTTACTTAATTTGTTTTTTGCTTCCATTAGTATAAAAGATATGTCTGAATCAGAAAGCTTTTCTGCTTTACCCGGCATGAAATACTGTCTGACAATATGTAGAGATGGATTTTCCATTTGTGAAATGAATTAAAAAAAAATTGAAAGCAAAATTTTTATCATCGATTGCAATAAAATTAACTATCTGATGTTAATCAAGTTTAAGTTTCCCGTCACTTTTCAAAATCGGTATTTTCTTTACATGAATTGTGAGAATATTGAAAAGTTGTGAATTCACAATTAGAAATTTTTATGATCTCCAATGAATTAATGATATACACATAGAAAATAATGTTTTCTAAATTTTACATCAAAATTTGATTAATGAGCCAGGTAAAAAGTTGGAATTGCTTTAATTCCCTTTAAATTATATATAAAACTCGTAATGTAGTACCATTTTGATATACGAAATATTGATTTTACCCTATTTGGTATAACATTTTCATGACAAAATGAACTGAAGTAACATTTCACAAGCTAAAATCTTTCTTGTCGATCTTGATTTCTCATAATTCAAACGAATTTCATAAGTTTCTTTTCGTTATCGAAAAATATTGAACCTGAAATTTGAACTCAGTATCTTTTCTTCCATCACTCGATATTTATCAATATCAGGTGATATTTGAAACTGAAATCATATTTTTGGAATTAAATTTTCATTTCGACCTAAATTAAACTTATATCATCATGCAAAGGATCTAACTTTTCATGAATACGTTACCAACTCATTTAATTGGCACTATTGCATTATACGATGTATATTGTCTCGAAAATAATTAATAATTATACAGGATATGATGAATAAATTTGAAAGGTTATTCAATGAATATTATTTTCTTAGAAGACTTATATCCTGTTGGAAGAAATTGGCTTCATACAAGAAACTCATATATTTGTATGAATTTTACAATACAATTTATTTTATCATACAAATAGTTATCAAAAAGTAAGAGGTGATACGTAAAAATTGTCTAATGTAGTGAATTAGTGTGAAAAGCATAATTATTTTTTGTTTCTTATGAAATTCAATTATCTTATGTTAGAACATTCTTATTTTGCACCATGCGAAACAAGAAGTTTAACAATTCCTTCACAATTGTTCCTTTTTGCAATTTCGAGAGATGTTTTTCCTCTGTTATTTTTTTCATTGACATATGCACCATACGAAATAAGAAGTTCAACAAATTCTTTATTGTTATATTTCGTGGCAATATGAAGTGCGGTATCCCCGTCATTATTTTTTTCATTGATATTAAAACCGTGTAAAATGGGAGCATTTGAATTTGCTTTACTATTAGACATTGCTGCATATCGAAGTGCAGTATTTTCATTTGGACTTTTTTCATTGAAATTCGAAGCATGCGCAAAAAGAACTTCAGCTGTTTCTATACTGTTGTGACGTGCTGCAATATGAAGTGCGGTTTCTCCATAAACATTTTTCTTATTGATATATGCACCATGAGAAAGGAAATATTAGCAAAGGGGTGGAATGTTGAACCTGATTGAATAAATAAAGCATCCGTTAATATCATCAGTCTGATCGACATTAACTAATAATGATTCGAGATTATTATACTCTGCACATTGACGAAAATCGATCTGCATATTGTATTCATTCATCAAGAATGTAATGAAATCAAGGTTGTGTGAAATAATTGCATATTTCATGCACTCATTATCTGGCTTGTGATATTTCAGACATTCGCTCATGATCTCTTGATTTCCTCCTAAAAAGGATAATCTTAAACATCTCTGAGTGATTTCTGATTTAAATTTCGTTCTTAATAACTTGAAACAATCAACTGCTCCAGAGTAACAACATAATTCAAGTAATGTACATGCATACAAAATTATATGTAATCCGCCGTAATATACTTGATTTTTATTAAATGCATCACTCTGTATGATGCAGACGAAATTGTCGCAGTCGTTGTTCATAATGGCTTCGTAAGATGTATTTCTTGTATGAGTTTCGACATTTTCTGTATTAAAGTGTTCAAAATCAGCAGACTTGTCTAATTTAATTCCGTATTCTTTATAAAACAGGTAGTTTGAAACCTCCTCAACATTGGCGACCTCTGTAGCATGATATTCATCAGATATGCGTTTGGCAAGAGATAAATATGACTTTTCACAGCGACTATTATACGGAATAATATTTAAAATATCTTTAATGACATTTCCAGGTTGATATTTCTTTGATTCAATCAACTCTGTTTTGATCATTTTGTAAATTGAGTTTAGTTCTTCTTCATTTCTTGTTTTCAGATGATACAACATATTGTATATATCGATGTAGAATTTACAGATACTCATTGATTCGTTGAATTTGCTTGGATGAACGCCTGGATCGGACATTAACTAAAAATGGCATTTTTACATTTTACAATATAAAATACTCCATAAATTCATTAGAAGAAAAAATGCAATGCTATATGTGTTGAAAACTATGATTTGAAAGATTTTGTATTTAATATATGGATTTTGATTAAGTTTATATATATGAAATGAAGCTATAACAATATAAAAGTCGAAGGCATTGCGAGTTCCATCCAGATACTGATAAAATTAAACAAAAATTTTCTAAACACAGATTAAAATGTTCATATTTAACTAATAATTAACTGCTTTGATATTCTTGATAAATAGATAGTAAGTAAAGATATTTTGGCGAATAATTTAAGAATCACAAATTTATTTTGTTAATTTAAGGTATCATTACATAAATTAATGTAGATATATTGCTTAATATCTCTTTTCTTCTAAAGCGATAAGTGGAATTCCCATCTTTGGTAAATTAAGAGGAATATCGTCTGTATAGTCAACGCGAATATGGCATCCCTTAATTGTAACGTTATCCATTTTGTTTACAGCAGCGCGAGAGTCGCCATATGAATCAAAAGCGATATAAGCCACCGGACCACGTATTTCGACTTGTCTAATGAAGCAATCTATTTTAGAAAATTCGTTGAATAAATCGCGCTCTGAAAGTGTAAGAGGATTGCCTCTTACAGTAACTGTTTTTGTTTCTCTATTCGAATAATATTTATCTCTGTGATCTCCTCTTCTATCATAGCTATCACGTCCATAATCTGGTGATCTGCGGTCATAACTTGAGTCCCAATCACGTCTATCATTGTAACGAGATTCTTCGGAATCTCTTCTATAGTCGCGGTTATCATATCCAGAATCGCGACCGCTATCCCTATATTCTCTCCTTGGAGGGGAGTATGTTTCATCCCTAGATGGCCGTGGTGGCTTATCTGATGGTTTTCTAGATTTGCTAAATGAAGCGCTTATTTTCAATCCATTAATTGTCATTCCATTGTATACAGCGATAAAGTTTTTTGCTTGCTCGTAAGTCTTGAAATCAACGAAACCAAAACTTGGATAACATGTGAACTTCTGAAAATCCGTAAAGCCATGCTGACTGAAGTGATCTCTCATCACATTGACGTCTTTGTCAAAAAGAGGACATAAGTAAACTGAATAACTTTCTTCCATTTCTATATTTGAAAAAAAAAATCTTATCTTTTTTTTGTAAATTTATGAAAAAAATTTTTTTTGTAAATTTTTTCTCAGAAATGACTAAAGCTAAGCAAGAGACTCTTAGACTTATCTTTAAATCTCTTGGCTTGAACGTTGATAACGAGGCATCTCTCATGTATCCACTCGTTGAACATGCACAGACAAGTATACTTAAAGTTCTTGGAAATGCGCTTCAAATTGCTCATAGATGTAAAAGAACAAAGCTAACAGTCGCTGATATCAATGTAGCTCTAGAATCTCTCCGTCTTGAACCATTATTTGGCTATTCTAGCCAGCAAGAACCTAATGTAGTAGATGTAAATGGAGATAATAAACTACTTGTATATGATGACTCCTTTGCTCAGCTAGAACAATACGCTCGCAGAGAACTCCCAGCATATCCTCTTGCTACCCATTTCGATGTAGTGTGGATTGCTCTGAATGGAATTGGTCATGAGAATTTAGAAACCATGGAACTTAGTAATGAGAAATTGGAAAATACCCTGAATAAGCAGCATAATCAACAACGACAGAAGACACAAGATTCTGACTATTTCGTCGTTTCAAACATACATCAATTTTCATATGTAAATCAAAAATTCTTTGGAGCATCAGGATCATTTCTTATGTCGAGTAAAATTGTTGATAGGGAACTGATGTTCTCAAAATTATCTGTATTAGACTGTATTCAGACTTTAGTCCCTTATTATATCAGATTTTCTCTCGTACAATTCAAAGATCACCCCAATGATTGGGACACATTATATTCGTCGCTTTGCACTGTTAGAGCTCTAGTACAAAATCCAAAACTCGAATACATCAATTGTTACATACAGAGCTTTATTACAATTGCTCTCTCATTTTTACTTAACCCAGAGATTCTACGGACTAACGCAATAGCTTTGGTTCGTATGAGAGAGCTAGCGGCAGAGTTTTTACTTGTTATATGCGATAAATTATCGAATACATATCCAATGGTCCAACCACATATTACAGCGCAACTTATCAGCGTACTTATCGAACATGATTACTCAGTTTCAGAGAAATTTGGAGCTTTTTGCGGATTAAATGCATTTGGTCCACAAACAATAGCCAAATTCGTCCTCCCACATATAGAAATGATCATTAAAGACCTTGTATCGGGTCCTATGAAGGATGGTGATAGAAATGTCAGAATGATCGCAGCATCTTTTTACGATACTCTTGTAAACGCTGTTGGTTTGTGTCTCTACAGCGATACGTCTAAGAGTTACATAAAAGGAACTCTGGAATTGGCTCCAAAGACCGGAGAGCAGAGAGAAAAGATTTTTGAGGCGCTGGGATCATTATTACTTCCGTTTTATATTGACGACAGTGTGGAACTGTCAATTTAACTTATTTTGTATTTAAATAAATTTTCTGTGTTTATATCTTTAATAAATCAGACTGTTTTTTCATAATATCACTTCAAAATGCTGATTTTACTAGTGTTTATACGGTATTTAGTATTCAGATTGATTAATATACTTAATTTATAATCAGGAAATATATTCTTCATAATACCTGTTTTAATAGATTAAAATGAAATTGCTTGTGATTGTAAAGAGAACCTTTGATTTATTTATGTTAATGCTCATATTTTACAAATAAATCAGAAACAAAAGTAATTAAAAGCGTGATATCCTGGTAGAGTGAAACCAAAATCCATAGTTTGGTAGTCCTAAGCTCTAATCCAAGATAGTTTTCTCGGTTTGTCGAAAATGAAGGATTTTCAAAAAATGCGATATTTCTGGCCAAAATCATATGCTTTAATTATATTATGTGATAGTATTCATTCCTTATTTGTTTTAGTCCTTTAAAAAATCATTTTTCTTGGAAGCAATTAAATTGGTTCGCTAATTTACAATTTTATCATATAAATTATTAGACGAATTAAACTATAGTCCTAATGTAACTGTAAATAGTACCAGAAAGACATACACATTCGATTATCCATGCCCTCAACTATTCGAATGCACTGAATATGTTATCAAATTTCAGCCAGGATTCTATAAATTCGAGCTGTATGGTGCCTCTGGCGGTGCGGCTGAAGGAAAAGTATCATTATTCATTGACGAAAACGGAGATTGTATCCACGATAAAATTGTGCAAATTGCTCATGGAAACGCTAAATGCAACTTTGTTGGAAGCCGTGGTGGTGCCGGCGGCTATATATCTGGCATTATCAAGTTACCCCACCCAATAACCGCTTTCGCTACGATAGGCGGTCGCGGAACATATGACATCACAGAAAAAAAATCTTCTTTTGAAGAAAGCAAAATGATAAAAGGCGGCTACGGAGGCGGTGGCTATGCCTTCAACTTCTACTTCAACGATAGTGACTGGGGATCAGGAAGTGGAGGCGGTCAAACCGCTGTCAAATTCGAGTCAAATGATCTTTGGCATCGAGTGATTGTGAGTGGGGCTGGTGGTGGTTCTGATAATAGTTTTACCTTCGATAATTGGGTTGATGATGGATCCGGTGGTGCAGGAGGTGGTTTCACTGCACAAGGCTGGTGGAAGGAGCATGTTTTGAACTCGGATAAGGTTGCAAATTCCACTTTTGGATTCACTTTTGGATCAGGAGAATCTGCGCGAAAAGAAGGTTCGAAAAACCCAGATGGAATTCAAGATTCTAACGATTTCAGTGATAGACCAGGTGCGGGAGGTGGTTGGTTTGGTGGATTTGCGGGTCATTATTCAAATGCAGGATCTGGAGGAGGAAGCTCTTGGGCACTCTCTGCTGATGCAGTATTCCCAAAGGGAGACATTTATGCAAATGGAAGTTTTTACAATGAATCCGAATCTCATCCTTATGCCTTCAGTTTGGAAGATGCTTATGTATTCACTGATGTTCAAACATTTCCAGGTGTATGGGAAGGTAATGGCAGGCTTGTCATCACCATTCTTGACTCAATTGTTTATCCTTCCTGCTAAAGTCTGCATCACAAACAATTTTCATATGAACTTTTGTTTATTTTGTTTTTCGAACCAACATATTAATAAACAACTGATATAACATCTTGAAACAAATGACAGTAATTTTGCAATCATCATGAAAAATGTTGCAGAAAAAGAAAAAAATTGGTTGAAAAACAGCAAAAAACGCTATCCTGGGGACTCGAACCCCAAACCCTTGGATTAAAAGTCCAAAGCTCTATCCTGTTGAGCTAGGAAAGCTTCACATTAGCTTTCAACATTTTAATTATATGAAATTTTCAAAAATTACCTGCAAGTGAACTAATCAATCTTTATAAATTAATCATATTTTCGGGAATTTCGAACCTTTACATGATTATGATAATAATGCTTGACAAAATTATGTCACATTTCCTCAACAATCCGAATTTTGAAAAAAAAAGATAAAAAAAAAATAATTCTCAAATGTTTGGTTTAGTTCTTCTATTTTCTTTGGCTGGTGCTGTTGGCAGAAAGCATGGCCGTCAAGAGACAACAGAAGATAACATTGAGTATCTTGAAGAAGACCAAGGCTTTCTTGATGAAAATATGGGAGATGAAAATCCAAATCAAGAGCCAGAAACAGTTTCAACATTAGCAGATCGTTATTTAAAGAATTTCGATAAATTAGAGACACAAGGCCAGAAATATCAAGCAATTATTTGGGCTTTAACAGAACTTGCTTCTTTGATCGATAGTGCAGCTACACGCTATGAAATTGAATACGAAATTGGTGGACATCTTCATACTGTTCTCAACAGTGTTGATGTTCGTGATCGCGAAATGAAGAAGCAATTCAAAGAACTTCAGACCGAAGTCGATCAATTAAAGTCTGATATCGACAAGCTCGTAAACGATACACGCACAGAGTTACAGACATCAATGAAGAACGTTAGAAAGGATATTATTAAGTCCTTACGCGATATTGTTGCTAATTCAATCGAAAGCAACCATAACGTCGCCCAGAAGGTCCAAAAGAAGGTCGAAAAGAGTGTAGAGCAGTACAAGAAGACAACAACTACTCAGGCTGTCTCTTACTTCGTCGGCTTCCAGGTCCTTCTCTTCCTTTGTGTTTACTTCTACAGCAAATATATCCAACAGGTTCGTATTGGCTAAATTTATTATAGTATTATTTTAATTAAACAATTACACAGACTTTTAATATCAAAATAAAATATTTCTTCGAATTCTCTAATAACATTACTTCTTTTTTGTTTGACCTTCATTTGAGATTTGACTCTTGCGTCTGAATTTTCATTTTTGATGAGTTCTGTTTTTTTCGATCGATTCGATGTTGAAGAAAGAGTTCAATTTGGAGCTTTCTGCGCAATATATCGTGTAAAAGACAGAGTAACAGGTCAAATACTAGCATTAAAGATAGAGAAAATGGAATCTTCATATACAATATTAAAATACGAATACGAACTTACAAAACAGCTGCAAGATATACCTAATATAGTTTGTGTATACGACTATTTTGAAAATAAAACTGATAAAGGCTTCACAATGGAATTATTATCAAATAATTTAAGTGATATCCGACATTTAAGACGTAATCCTCCTTCACTTTCAATGCTCACATACATAACAAAAGAATGTTTGCTTTCTTTAAAGGAAGTTCATGCTAAAAATGTTTTACATCACGATATCAAACCATCAAACTTCCTCATTAGGTTTGAAAACGATGATTATCGTGTCGTATTGATTGACTTTGGTCTTTCAGTATCTCTAAATGAACCAGAAAGTATTTCTAAATTTAGATATAATTTAGAACAGAATCCAAGATACCATTCTATTGATTGCTACGGAAACAAGAACTGGACACAAAGAGAAGACTTGGTGTCGTTAATATACACAATCTCAGATTTCTGGAAAGATTCTCTTCCTTGGGATGGAAGAATGTCTGCGAGATTAATTTATGAAGAAAAAGTTAAGCACTCTCTCGAATCTCTTCTTCCTCCCGAACTTAGCTTCCTCGTTACAGACCTTGACAAAGGAACTGAGTATTTATATAATGAAGCTGAAAAATTGCTTCAAACAATGCTAAGAAACATCAAAGAAGAGATTAAATATCTCACTGATCCACTTGATCCTGGATACAAACGTAAAGTTGCTGACATTGTTGTTGAACCAGAGACTAAGAAGAAATTTAAGAATCAACATTCAGCTTAATTTTTTTATTTTATCATGTTATTAAACATATATTTATGAATTACACTCTATTCCTTGATTCAGTATGATTGGGTTGATATATTCTATGATGGTTTCAAAATCTTAATTCAACTTCATATTGAGATCTCTATTGGAATTTCAACACGAAAAAAATATTCATTTAAAAGTGTTCTATTTATGAAAAATAGAAAAATGAATGTTAATGACCATTATGGTCTGTAATTTAAGAATAACATTATTTTTTTATTCTATGCATAAATAGCTGTAAACATTTTGGTATATCCATATTTTTCTATTTAAATGAATCTGTATTCTCTGGAAGCTTTTGGCCGTAAGATATTTTATCATATCTATGAATAGAATACAGTTTATAATGTATCATATAATGTTTTACATTAATTTTTCTTCTTTAAATACAGTGATATTCTGATTCACACGTATTCATGGTTATAACTAATCATTTTGTTTGTGATTTTTAAATATGCTGCGTATAACTCGTTAACACGGCTTTGAAACAATTAATAGACAATATCTTCTACTTTGAGTAATCATTATTGAGTGAATGATGAAATAAGAAATAAATAATTGGCATTTTCGTGATAATTTTCGGTGGAAAGCATTCCTATTAAGCCATGAGAGTGCCCCGACCTTACTCAAAATTTCAAAATTTTTTTGAATTCTTGAATTGCATAATCAAATTTGATGAATTTGCTTATGTTTTTTACATTTCTCGATTTTTTTTGGAATTTTGAGGTTAAATTTAATTTAAAATTCATTTTTTCAAGGAATTGAAGATATATCACTGAATTATAACACGGTGATGTTATTATATTTTAAATATATTTTAATAATTCCTAGATGAATTGAATCCTTAATCTAAATTAAATAAAATTAATTTTCAATTTCTTTAGAATGACTTTTGAATATACAGACACATACACTAAAATTGATATTATTTCAATTAAACAGTCCCTATTAAAAATTGTATTATAGAAATTCAATAAAAAATCTCTATTTATTTCCCTGAGGATCTCTAATAACAAAATTTTCGCGAACATCTTTAAAATCATTATCTGTATCACCTTCGAATCTTAGAGTATAACAAGATCCGGTCTTTGAAGGAACTTTAACGACAGTTGCAGGATAAAACGCAGAAGTCCATTCATCATTGTCTAACGGCCAAAGAGCAAGTACATGTGACCCAGTTGGGTACTCCACTCTTGATGATTTTTGTTTTGGTAATGTTGTGGGGAGGGGAAGGAGTTCTGAGCGATGTTTCTTGACTGCTTTAGGATTTTCGTCATGGGCATCAACAATTATATATGTTTCATCGTCTTCGTAGCCCGCAACGTAGAATAAAATATATTCTTCATCGTCATCATTGACTTTAGCAGCTACAAACTCATCTATTGGTATTCTTTCATCTGGATTGGCTGGAATTGCACCGCATAAACTTGGATATGGCATATCACATAATTTCATTTCTCTAGTCGTAAATAGTTCAAACATATGGCGAGGTTTGTGTATATGAAGTTTAGGTTCCTCATGCTCTACTAATTGAGCTGGTTGACTTGGAGAATTCGGTATAGTTTGCTGTATTGGAGAAAATGGACGAATTTCGACGGTTCCTTCTTGTCTGGCGAGTGCTAATTGAGATTGACGTATAATTTTGTCTAATTTAGCTAAAACTGTTGAGTATTTGGCGTTAATTGAAGAGTATTGTTGTTGTGCATGAGGGGAATGCATACTATCAAGAGCTTTATTCAATTCATTGACTAATTCTTCGATCTCAGAACCGTCCTTAGCCACACTCCGCAGTATCTCTATTACCTCTGGATTGAAATTATCCGCCCCCTCCATTCCAGAAAAAGTGCAAGGATTGCAGAGATTTTTGTTGAAATTATTACACAAAATGGATGTAAATTAACCAACAAATCAAATAACCTCTTCAAAAATGCCACATCTATTAATTTTTACAAATCAAATTCATATTTCTTCTCATTTAAAGAACCAACATCCAATAGTTTGATCACAAACAGATAGTTATTACCAATATTATCTTCCACAAAGAATTTGAAACGTTTCAATCTTCAAACCCTTCAATCATTCTCAAATAGCTTCAATCACAAACTACAAACACACTCTCATAAATGAAATAGTGCATTATATAAACAAAAAATGGTTATATCTGAAGTAATACAAAATAATAATTTACAATTATATATATATAGCGTGTATAATATCTACTGTGGCTGCTCTACATCATTATTTTCATGAGTATTTTCTTCCGCTGGTAAATCCGTATTAGGTTTTATATCATTATTTTGTTCATCCTGAACAACTTGATTTTCTGTGGTATTCTTGCTCTTCTTTCCTTTTCCTTTCCTCCTCTTTGACTTTTTGCCTTTCTTCCGAGTTTCAACTTGAGATGTTTGGATTGCAAATCGTGGCTGCTCTTCATCAAGTCTGACAAATTGGTCGAGACCCTTTTCAATCTTTTGCATGAAAACGTTAAACGGATTTGCAGTTCCGATCGTAATTTTGAGCAAAAGCATCGAAATGAATAAAACAAGGAAAAGCATGGTTACGTTCCTCCTTGTTCCTGAATGTGCAGGGTTTGGATACAATTCTACAAGGCCATCGTCGTCATCATCATATTTCAGACCTTCTTGAATCTTTTTAAGTCTGTTTGCTTCAGCTGCTTGACCGAATAATATGTTAACAATTTCTTCTTCTGCTTGGCCAAGCTGTCCGGCTGAAAATGGCACATCTAATTTTTCATAAACGTTAGATGCGAAAATCATCCATACTTCACTGTAAATTGTCATTCTCTTCTTCCAAGGTTTCGAATCACCGCCAAAGTGAGCTGCACTTGAAAGGATTTTTGAAGTTGGATGAGACGGATCTTGAAGAATTGTCCTCTTGTAGCCTCTGTTTTCATGCATGCATAAAATAGGAAGTAAATGTATATTTCCAGCGTAGAATTTCGTTAAAACTGCTGTATCATATGTTCCAATCGAGTTTGCATCCTTTTCTGGATGGCCGACATAGTCGAGACAAACTTCTAGAAGTCTGGAGTAGTCATCTAATGATGGTTTGATTAGTAAAAAGTCGTGATTAAATCTAAATCCGCTTTCTAGTAATCCGTATGTTTGAATATCGTATCCGGATGATGGAGCTTCGTAATCAAAAACGAAACTGACATCACGGAAAACTAAAGTATCGGCTCCGAAAAAGCATATTTTTTCGTATTGCGTTAAAGTGTATATCTGGAATTTAAACCAAAAAGCATTTTCGGATTTTCCAGGATGGTATTCATTAGGCCACTTAATATGTGGTCTAACTATGATATGTGTCCAAACTTTTTTTACAACGTTCATCAATTGCTCAGCTTCTGATAATGGCTGAGAAACAATAAGTACTCTGTCGTAGTTAGGCGATAAAGTCTTTAGAGAATATCCAAGGACCGTTAGCATTTGAAGATAGCCGAAATGCTCTTGAATATCGGAAGAATATACTGACACATACGCATACCGCGATCTAGGCGGCATATCCTTTTCTCTCTTTGCTTTTTCTATATTATAATCTGTGAAATAAGTTTCATCATCAATTTGCTCCTCTTCTTCATCTGAATCAGAAAGCTTATTTCCGGCCATACTGCCAGAAGGCTTTTGAACGTCTTCGTCCTCCTCATCTTCAACATCAGATAAAGCAAGACAGATGAGAAAGAAGCAAAGCATTTATATTTGAAAAATATATCAAAGAGAAAATGGCAAGAAATGTCATTGCTCTATGCATATCAGCTATTTTAATTCCATAAAAAATTGATACCTCCTTTCAATTCAATTTTGAGAATATTTTTTTTAAAACCTTATTTGTGAGGTTTACATTGGTGGATAAATCAGATTTTTGTATCCAAAGATTTTCGAAAATTGTATCTGGGAGTAATACTTTGCACTTAACCATCCGGCAATACAAAACAATTACAAGCAGTTTCAGCCTTTTTTATCATTATTTTTAGCAAGCATCTTTACTCGATTATAAATCCACACTGTTACTATTAATCTCAAGTAGATTTATGATTAATTCAATGTGATAAACTATTCATAATAAATGAATCTCTTAGATGGCATACATTCCGTCTAAAATGCATTGTAATTTAATACTAAAAGTGTTTACGAAGCAACTAAATTTCTAATTTGTTTTGATTTTCCTTTTACATTCGTTAAGATTAAGATTTAACTAATATTGTAGATAATTTGATATCAATTCCTTTTAAAATTTATATCTACTGATGAAACATAATCGAACACAATGGTTCAATGATAATATATAAGATTAAATATTATTTTCTATCTAATTGAAAGATTTTGTTGATATTTGTTGAGATTGGACTTGAAAATTATTATTTTTTGAGCTACATCTGCTATTCATTTTCATATTTTGTTACTTTTTTATCTTTTTATTTCCAAAATTTTGAGCAACCCTGAAAAAAAAGTTAAAAAAATGAGAACTTGTGTTCTTTTGGAACCTTTAGGGACTACACCAACAGAAGAACAAACAACAGATACTCTCATTAGTGTAATGTCTAATGGATATATTTATTCTATTCCAATTCGCTTTAGTTTACAAGATTATTTATTTACTCCAGAACAAAAATCATTAGGACTCATTCCACACTTACTTAAGCTTAATCAAAGTGTTTTTCATAATTCAAAGTTAGCAATTACAGATATTTTAGCATATTCCAAAAATTTAAATATCACATGTCTTGGCCATTTCGAACCAATACCACAAACCAAAAGAATACGTGCTGAAATTTCAAAAGATCGTAAATCTTTAATCATTAGCGGTGTAATTTATAATAAAATACCAAGTATTGCAGTTTATTCAATTAAACCTAAATCATTATCATTAGTATTTGTCGATTCATTATTTGGCGTTATTGACATGTGTTTTCATCCATCACCAAATACATTATTAGCATTACCTCGTGCAATGACCGGCATGATATCGCAAGTAACACTTCCAGCCACGATGCCTGAACACTATTCACACAGAGTCATCCCACAGATTACTTTCCTTGGCCATCCTTCAAAAAGAATGATGCACATAATTTCATGCAAAACTACGACACACCACCAATTTGCAACATGGACAGATGATGAACGCCCTACCATTTCATTTTGGCGCGTATCTCCTGAACCAGGCATACAAAGGTGGTTTGAAACATCGATGCAATTAATGATTCCAGCGTTTATCCAAAATTTACAAGTAGATTCGAAAGGAGACAGACTTGGCTTTGTCCTGCAAACAGAGGAGTACACATCCATTGCTATTTGGGACCTGAAGAAGGAGACAGATCGCCAAAACAATCTGATGATTCCAAGTGACGAATTCGGCCAAGTTTTGACGAGTAAATGGCAACAACCATTTAACGTTGTTTGCGGGCCAACTACACATGATGAGGCTTTCTATGTGTTGACAACTAAAGGCTTGTTCATGCACAACGGAAGCCAGATCTGGAAATGGCCACAAACAGAAATACCAATGACAAACTTTTATTCGACAAAAGGAATTTACATTTTCTACGTGAATACAGAAGGAGAATTACACATGATATCAGTTCACGAAGGTGATGTGAATGCTGGTGGAATTCTTCTTAAATCACAGAAAGCACCACCTGTTCCTTTTGTTAAAGCAACAATGAAAGGGCCATGTGATACAGCTGTTGGTGTGCACTGCTATAGATGCAGCAACTGCAGAATGCCTTTGATACATCCTTTAGTTTGTTCCAGCGATGGTTTGGAGTGTTGCTACTGCTCTAAAAGTTGCCAGGAAGAACACTGGCCAATGCTTGTTGCAGTCAATAGCTATTTTTCTTTGGATCCTGATATTAGAACACATCCTAGCAAGACTTCTAAATTCACTCCTGGCGGGCCTTTGTCTTCTCATTACATGCTACATGATTAACTTTTTGTTGTTAATATTATTGTAAATATTATTGTATATCTTTGTTTATAGCGAAATTTTCATTAATTTTTTACATTTAAGGGGAATCCATGAACAAATGACAAAGCTATAAATTATATTGTTTATGAGGAATTTGAGTATTCAAAATTAAAGAAAATATAACAATAAAATTCAAAATCGAAGGTACATTTATAAGTGTAAACCAACGAGAGCCTTGTAATTTTATTAAAATTCAATAAGATCATTATGTTGTTCAGATAATCTCTTCTATACATTAACAAACATTATAAAAAAAATAATTTCAAATTTTTAGGTACTCAAACTCTATCACTAGCAAATACATTGTATTTAAACTGTTATTTGAAGTATTTTTTTCGTAAAATCATTCCAATCAAATATTTTATGTAATACAGAGGACATAAACCAAAAAATAGCAAATTTTGTAATAGATCCTTAATTGTAGGGATTTTTAAGGATTGTGGTGATACATTTTCCTATAAGATGATATTTGCTTTCTCAATGAGAGCAAAGTGTATTTTTAAAATAGACATAATTCACACATCTTACATTGGAATTTGATAATGAAATAATCAAATCGGTATTAAATCAAAATTTCGTCTAATAATTTTTGATAACGTAGATTTTTTGAATTGTAGAAGTGTGATCATAGATAAAACTAATACTATTCCCCATTGGCCGTCCTATTTCGTTAAATTTCGTATGTGTCTTTGACTGGTTGCAGCTGTAAATCGCTAAAATCTCCTATTATGTCCTATTGGCAGAAAGATTTTAATCGTCACTTATTATTAGAATGTGGTCTGATCGCGTGAATGAGCTTAATAAGCGCAGACCGGGATTGATCACAGTGACCAATGACCCCAATAGAATATTTGAAAATCTTAAAACTGCATTTTTAGTCGAAGATAATTGGGAAGACATTGCTTCTGTGTTTTCTCCAATTGTTTTACATTTAGTTTCTGAAATAGTTCGCGATGTTGTTTCAGATCCTTCACAAGATGATCTCGGCATTGTAGTTTTATTTTCAAATTTAATTAATACTTTTCCTTCAATTCAACCACTCATCATGTTTTTCATCCAGCATCGTCCAATAGCTGATTCTTCACACATTGCAGAACCAATTTTCTTAAGATCAGTATTTCGATTATTAAGTACTATCGGACCATCGTTTGAAATACGCCTTAGTCAACTTCTTGAATTATTAGAAGCTGATGAACCACAAGGCACACGTCTTTCAATCGAATCTGGATTTTATTTATCAAATATTGTTGGTATAATGAGAAACATGTCTGAAACCGAATTAAATCAAGTTTACCTCAACAAATATCCACTCGAAGCACAAATAGAACTCTACACACTCGAATCAAAATTTTCAAATTATAAAATACCGATTTCAAACTTCGGAGAAATGAAATACGAGACACCATACGCAATAACAGTCAATGGAGTTCCATTCTTACGCTCAATGGATGCAGAAGAGAACAATCAAGAGCATCCAATTTTACAAACACCTTACGCACGTTCTCTTGCACTTGCAATGCTTACCAACAAGCCAGTCATGGTCATCGGACCTGCCGGCAGTGGTAAATCAACAATCATACAACATTTGGCAAGATTGGCCGGTACTGAAATCACTTCACTTCACCTTGGCTCAGCTGTTGATGCAAAATCATTATTAGGTGGCTACATTTGCGGCGAAATCCCCGGCGAGTTCAGATGGCTTGACGGACCATTGACAGCAGCAATAAGGGAAAACAGAAGGTGGATTGTTTTGGAACAAATTGAAATGGCTTCTGCGGAGGTTTTGGCGGTTATCCAACCGTTATTAAGTGAACAGAAGTTGTTTATCCCAGGAAGAAGCGAAACACTCAAGATGGGCTACAACACAAGAATCTTCGCAACTTGTTTCAAACCAATTGAAAGTTCACTTTGGACAAAATTGAAAATTGACTATTTGTCAAAAAGTGACACTTGCAATGCCATTTTGTGTTCTAATCCAGAGCTTAAAGACGACAACAATGTTATCCTTAAGAGGAACATCGACATGATATACGATGCTTGGGCCAAATGCAAATTGACTTATCATGAATTATTCAGAGTTTTTCGTCGTTTGACTCCTCAAGATCTAAAAAGTGACACAATTTATGACAACAAAGCCAATGAGATGTTCCAAATCATCTTTGACACATTCACAAGCCATATCGCTGACCAAGACAAGCGCCTTGAAGTTGCGCAACTCATTGAAAGCGTTTGGGATATTCAAGGTTTGGCTGAATCATATTTAAGGTTAAACAAACCTCCACTTATCACTTCACCTTTCCAAATTGGCTCTGTTACATTACCATTCCTCGGTGATCCCACTCCATCACCATCATTTGCCTACACATTCACTGCTCTTCACAACATGGAATCAGTTGCAAGAGCATTGTCAATGAGAGAACCAGTTTTATTGGTCGGAGAAACAGGAACAGGTAAAACAACATTAGTCCAATTCATTGCATCATCAGTTGGCGCAAAGTTCACTGTTATAAACATGCACCATCAAAGTGATACATTGGATATAATTGGTGGTTTCAAACCAGTTGATTTGGATAAATTAATGTCACCTTTCTTCTCAAGATTCATGAAAGTTTTTTCAAAGACATTTGATGCAGCGAAGAACGCCCAATCTCTTAATCTCATTGACCAATGCAAACAGACAAAGCAATGGAAGAAATTCCTCAATTTGATATTGAAGTTCTGTGGAGCAGCACTTTCAAAAGAATCCGTTAAAAATAATGAAAAAAGATCATCGAAATGGACGAAAATAAGAGATGAAGCCAACGGATATCTTTCGAAATCCAAGTTCCTTGAACATGATTTCGCATTTGCTTTCGTTGAAGGACCATTAGCAACAGCATTCAGAACTGGACAATGGATTTTACTCGATGAAGTTAACTTGGCTCCTCCAGAGACATTGTTAGCTTTGGCTCCTTTAATGGATGGAACATTGACATTACCAAATGGTGAAATACTTCAGGCACATCCTAACTTCAGATTAATCTGCTGCATGAACCCTGCAACAGATGTTGGAAAAACAAATCTTCCTGAAACATTAATTCATAAATTTGTCACAATTTATTCTGATGAAACTTCATCTGAATCTGACATCAAACTGATCTTAGACACAAGAGGCGTAAATACAAGATATCACCACATTATTTACGACTTCTACACGAAAGCTCGCGAAATGTCTAATTATTGTTTGACAGATGGAAGTGGAAGAAGAATTATGTACACTTTAAGAGCATTAACAAGATCAATTTTATACATGAACAAAGCAGAGAAATACTTCGGATCACCAAGAGCTTGCTATGATGCTTTGTACTTATCATTTGTGTCTCCTTTGTCTCCAGATTCCGCTGAAAGATTAATCGGAGAATTACAAAAGAGAATTGACATAAAAAGTGACAATTTCAATGCAACCAAAGTAGTTGATCCAGATTTCATTGAAGTAGAAGGATTCTTGATCAAGAAAGGACCTCTTCCTATCAAAGAAAGACCAGATTTCATCCTTACAGACACAGCAAGACAACATTTAAGATCATTAGCACAAGCAGCTTTTCTTGGCTCTTCTCCAATTTTGTTGCAAGGCCCAACATCATCAGGAAAGACATCAATTGTTGAGTACCTCGCTGATATAACAGGCCATGAGTTCGTCAGAATAAATAACCACGAACACACTGATATCAGTGAATACATCGGTGCTTATGCAACAACAGAATCAGGAGCATTCGAATTCGTTGAAGGAGCTTTAGTAAGAGCAGTAAGATCTGGTGCTTGGGTTGTTTTGGATGAATTGAACTTGGCACCATCAGATGTTTTGGAAGCATTGAACAGATTATTGGACCAAAACAACGAATTGTACATTGCGGAGACACAAACAGTTGTAAGACCAGCAGATGGATTCCAATTATTCGCAACACAAAACCCTCCTGGAATTTACGGTGGAAGAAAACAATTATCAAGAGCGTTCAGAGGCCGTTTCATCGAATTACACGTAGATGAGATTGCTCCAAAGGAACTGAACACAATTCTTATTGAAAGATGCCATATGGCACCATCATTCGCCAAAGCAATGGTCGATACATTCTTAGAACTCAGACAAATCAGACAGTTCACACAAGTTTTCGCAGGAAAACAATCATTTTTGACTGTTAGAGATTTACTTAGATGGGCAAACAGAAATCCAAACACATGGGAAGAAGTTGCTGATGAAGGTTTCGCTCTCCTTGGAGAAAGATTGAGAACTCCTGAAGAAAGAAACATAATGAAAGACGTCATCACCAAAAACTGCAAAGGAGCGGCAGTGATGCATGACATACAAGTTCCAGATGTTAAATTAGATTTCGACATCGTTTGGACATCAGGAATGAGAAGATCCGTCGACTTGTTAATGAGATGCATCAGGAATAAAGAACCTGCTTTGCTTGTCGGTGAAACAGGTACAGGAAAAACAACAGCAGTTCAAGTAATTGCTGCTGCTTTAGGAAGAAGATTGAGAATTCTCAACTGCCATCAACATACAGAAGCATCCGATTTCTTGGGCGCAATGAGACCGGCGAGAATCCAAAAGACAGAAGAGAAACACAAATTGTTCGAATGGAAAGATGGTTCTTTAGTTGATGCAATGAGAAGTGGTGATGTTTATTTGTTGGATGAAATCTCTTTGGCACAAGATTCAGCTCTTGAAAGGTTGAATTCCGTCCTTGAACCATCGAGATCTCTTGCAATTGCTGAGAAACCAGAATACGAAATCATCAAAGCACACGAGAACTTCGCATTCATTGCAACAATGAATCCTGGTGGAGATTACGGTAAAAGAGAGTTATCTCCTGCTTTGAGAAACAGATTCACAGAAATCTGGGTTCCTTCAATTGACAGTGATTCCGATTTGCTCGAAATCCTTGCAGCAAATTCCTCAAACCCTGAAACGAAATCACATCGCGAAATGTTCTTGAAATTCGTGAGATATTACACAGGATTATCGAAATCATTGATGAATATCTCATTGAGAGACATTTTGCAATGGATCAGATTCGTTGACAGTCGCTGCAACAATGGATCATCATTTGCAGACGCTTATGTCCATGGCGCATTCATGGTTTTCATTGATTGCGTTTATAACACATATAGAAATGATTTCATCAAATTCCTTTCCGACCAATTAAATGAGAACAAATTAGTTTGTTCAGAGGAATTAGGAACATTTTCACATGAAGTTAAGATAGAAGGTGATGTAATGAACGTCGGAGCTTTCCAGTTGCAAATGCATCATTCACAAGAAGAAAACAAAGTCAATTTCGTTTTCTCAGCACCAACAACAAGCCAAAACTTGTTAAGAGTTGCAAGAGCTCTACAAATGCATCTCCCTGTTCTAATTGAAGGACCTCCTGGTGTAGGAAAAACATCATTGGTCGCTTCACTTGGCCAAGCACTCGGATTCAATGTCGTCAGAATCAATCTCAGCGAACACACAGAGATGTTGGATTTAGTCGGCAGCGAATTACCAGTAGAAAACGGTGTTTCAGGCCAATTCGAATGGAGAGATGGCGCTTTCCTGACAGCATTGAAGAATGGCGATTGGGTAATTTTGGATGAACTCAACTTGGCATCCCAATCTGTTTTGGAAGGCTTGAACTCTTGTTTGGATCACCGTGCAAGTTTGTTCGTTCCTGAGTTGGGAGAAGAGTTCAAATGCCATCCTAATTTCAGAATTTTCGGCTGCCAAAATCCTGCTGCAGGAGGTGGCGGAAGAAAATGCCTTCCAAGGTCATTTTTGAACAGATTCACAAGAGTTTACGTCGAAGAACTCACAGAAGAAGACTTCGACTACATCATTTCCAATTCATACGAAGAACTCAAGAACCAAACAACACTGAGATCGAAGATGATCAGTTTCATCAGACAACTGAACGAACTCAAATTGGAATTCGAGTTTAACTTACGTGATGTTTTCAGATGGTGCCAAATGATGTTTGCTGCAAGAATACAACCAGTCAAAGCACTCCAGCAGCTCTTCATTCAGCGCTTGAGAACAAAGAAACATCGCCAAATGGTTTTGGATATCGCGTACAAAGAATTTGGTGATTTTTCAACTTTACCAACTCCTCTTTTGATTTCTCCTTCAAACGTAAGAGTCGGAGACATCGTTATAGAGAGAAATGGCTCCTGCGCACCACAAAACATTGTCATCCATCCTGCAATGATAAGACCTCTCGAAACAATTTTCATGTGCGCAAAAATGAATTGGCCAGGATTAATCGTCGGCCAAACAGCGACAAGCAAATCATCATTAGTCAGAGTTGCCGCACACATCATTGGCAGGAAACTCATTGAATTCTCCATGAACTCATCAGTCGATACAACTGAATTACTCGGTGGTTTCGAACAAGTTGACAATCACAGGTGTTTCGAACAATTAAAGGATAAAATCAGATACAAGTCTCCATTTAATTCCGAAACATTGGCTCATTTCGAAACCATCAACGATCCAAGTAAGCTCCACGACTTCATTTTCGCTATGAATCTCGAGGAATTCAAAGAAGAAGCCCTTCAATTGATCATGAGAAATAACGATAAAGGCACTTTTGAATGGGTTGATGGATTACTTTTACAAGCGATGCGAAACGGATGGTGGATCATCATTGATAACGCAAACCTTTGTCCACCAGCTGTTTTAGACAGATTGAATCCATTGTGCGAACCAGGCGGCTTCATTTCCTTGAACGAACGTGGTTTAGTCAATGGAAACATCGAAGAAATCCATCCACACGAGAATTTCAGATTGTTTATGACTGTTGATCCTAAATTTGGAGATATTTCAAGAGCAATGAGAAACAGAGCCATCGAAATTTATTTGCCATCATACTACGAACGCCTTAATGATGACAAACTCCTTGAAGACGAATGCAAGGCATTGGCAGGAGAAAATGGATTGGAATTCATGCAAATGATGAAAGATGAATGCACAGATAATGATTTGAGAACATTAAGTGCTTGGAACATGATCTCTTTCAAGACATTCAAAGAACAAGCGAGTGTTGCACAATTGGGTGATGACGCTGCTCATTTCAACATCGCTCATTGTTCATTAACTGAACAACCTTTGAATGAAGACGAAAAATCAATGACAAGATCAAACTCTTCTTTCTCTAATTTCATTTCAAACTCTGAAGTCTTAAGTGTCTATCAATTCAAGCCTGTAACAAATACAATGATGGAAACAATCATTTACGATTCCGCCTATTTGAGCCAAGTTGATTGTGAGAACAACGCTGCAATCAAGTTCTTCGCAGGATCAACAAAAAGCGAAGATATCGATGCGAGATTGTATTTCGCCCAAATCAACAATTGGCGAAAAGTTGAAGAAGTTTTGAACGTTTTAAGAAACTACAAGATTGCGAAATTCGAAGAAGACTTGCCATTAGATAAAACATTGTGGCCAAATCCACAAGAAACACTTAAATTCAACGCTTTGTACTTGTTGATGAATCTTTGGCCTGACGCAACAGCATCATTACAAAACGAGTTTAATGATGTCAGTTCAATCCAGATGAGGAATGATTTGATCACAAACATACAGTACATTTACAATGAGTACAAATCAATTGTTGAAGAGCAGATAAGTGACGCAGAAGACAACATTACTCCTTATTATTTGTTGCCATTGAGAGTTATTGATTTCCACAACAAAGTTTCAGAAAATTCCATTCCTTTGATGAGATTTTTGATCCATTTGTTCAAGAAAGGAAATATCAGACCACCACATTTCGATATATTAAGTGATGTTTTGATTCCTAAATCAGCTAAGACAGCTAAGAAAGCGAGAAAAGAGATTGGAGAACCATTTACTTTCAAGACGAAACAAGCTTATAGTTTATGGGAAGAAATCAACAAATACTGGCAGAACTTGTACCAACAAAGTGACAGTGGTTTCTACAAACAATCAAATAACATCATTCAATTGCTTTCTCAGTTGATTCAATCTCAAGTTCAATGTGACAGTTTGCAAACCATTTTACAAAACCTCCAAAAGTGCAGTTTGCCAAAAGAAGTTGTCCTTACATTTATGGATGAGATAGAAGAGATGAATGAGAAGAGGATGCAGCCAACAACTGTCCAGTTATCAACACCATTCCCATCGGAACATCTCCAAGAAATTTCATTGCATTCAGTTGTTTTGTATGTAATTGATTGTTTGCTCAGTGGAAATCAAATCAAACTTCCTAAGACATACTCAGTCATGTTAGACTTAGTCGCTATAATTGATTCATACAACAAGACTAAGTCATTCACTGATCTCGTTTTCGCTCTTTATGAGTTGATTTTCCACATGGAAAACAACGTTTTAAGTGGTCCAGGATTACCAGCAGTTTCCACTGTTTTAGGAACACATCCCAACTTGTTAGAAGCAGCACATAACAAAGAACTCACAACATCTCTTTATAACTTGTTGAAGAAGATACCAGCTCTTCAAGAACAAGATGTAATCAACAGATTCACGAGTTTGTGCAACAAAGAAGCAGAAAAATTGTGTATTTCAAAGGTTGATGCAAAGAATTTCGACCAAACATTCTTGGAATATGCAATCAACAAGTGGAACTTGATTTCTCCTTTGAGCGAAGTCGATGACTCTTATTATCACATGGTTGTTGCAGAGTTAACAACAAATCTTCAACAGTCTCTTCAAAGCGAAATGGATGTTACAAACGAAATCATGAAATCAAGAATAGGAAATGATCATTCTGTAACATCTCAAGCTTACGAAGTAGAAATGAAAGAGCTCAAGGATATCAACTTCAAATCCCTCCAAAAGTCAAAATACAGAGGGCAAACAGATGAATTTCCAAAGGTGAAATCAATCATCGAAAGAATTGGCGGAGTTGTAAAAGTTGGAGCTTCTAAAGACATCGCGAAGTCCATTGATGAATCAGCTACTTCCATTCTCAGACAGTTCCCATTGTACAGAGATATAACTGTTCCTATTGTTACTTCTTTGAGAGAAGTATCATCTGGATTGCAGTTAACTCATCCAAACGATATGATTAATTTGCCATTCCCATTCACAGCGAAAGATTTGTTGAACAAATTGTTCGAAAGCACTGATTCATTGAACACTGCATTCACATTCTCTATTATTGGACATACACAAGAAGTTGTTCATAAAGATATAGAGATGCATTTCCCTGAGTTAGCTCCTGATTATTCAACAATTTCCGAAGAAGAAAAGAGAGAAAAACAAATCGAAGAATTGTTCTCCAAAGAAAAGAAAGATGTTTTGAATGTTTTGACAAAGAATTTCGTGGATTCAATGCTCAGACCAACAGAACTCCAAACAGGCAAGCTCCTCAACATGTTCTACAAGCAAGTCAAACAATTGCAACCACAAGAGATGTCCATGGAATCAGATTTGTTGTATCTTCCTTTAGTTTTGTTCAGAATGTCAGATAAAAAGACTAAAAACGAAAGGAATATCAACATCTACCAAAAATCAAGTGCATCAGATCTCGAAGAACTCGCAAAGGTTGTCTACAAAGTTGTTGAATTAGTAACAGAAGTGTGGAAGAGATATCCAGGACACGAACAACTCAGAATCATTATTAAATCTGCAAACGCTTTATTGAACATGCCAACAGATTTACCTTTGATCGAATTCCTGAATTCATTGGAGATTTTGATGAACGAAATAAGGAACTGGCAACACAAGGAAAGAGACTTCGGACCAGTCTTAGCACCATTGGTCACATTAGCCAACAAATGGCTCCAGATGAGATTGGAATCATGGAAGATGTTGTTCGAAAACAGAAGAAGAATTTTGCAACAAAATGTCGGTAGATCATTCTACACTATTTTGGAGCAATTCAAGAGAACTGATGATGAAAACATCGGCGACTTCTTCGCATTGGTCTGTGATTTCATCGATACAAGCAGTGTTGGTGTCTTAAAGACCAATTTGGATCTTCTCGAAGCTTTCGCAATTTATTCGCAAAGATATGAAAATTCCGATTATATCTTCAGAATTTTAATCAACTTAGTTGTTAAGTTTAGATCATATCTTCCATTCATCGAGAAGTACATTGCCACAGAACTCATTCCTCTCGAGAAGAAGATGAAGGAGTACATGAGTCTTCAGAAGTGGGACACTGATTCAGACAAGAAACACATGTTGAAGATTGACACAGTTAAACGTCAATTGAACAAATACTGTCAAGAACACATGGAAATCATCAAACCTATCTTCAGATTGATGATTGACCAGTTGACAGACACAATGATCAGAACACCAGGAGTTCCTTATTCAAAGGGAACAGAAATTGACGAAATCACTGATAAATTATTTAACAACGAAGAAAAAATCAGAATCAGAATTTACAATGCAAGAATTTATGCCAATCAACAATTGGATATCCAAGCAGACAACAACCAGGATAGATTGGATAACTCATCACCTTTGCATTTGTTCATGAATGAGACATTGTTTGGAACACAATTCAACGAAGTCAATGAATTGTTCGGAACAAGTTTGAGCTTATTGACAAAAGTCAGAAAACTCAGTCCAGAATGTCATTTGGACATAAGACCAGAAGAAAGCGAGTACTACAAAGGATTCTGTGAAAACTTGGTCATAATGCTCATCAAAGAAAGAAAAGAATTGCATGTAAAACCACAGTTTTACGTCGATGGACCATTATTTGTTTTCAACCAAGTTGTAACAATTCTTAAGTCTTTCTCTGGATTGGACAACAATTCCTTTGTTTCCGAAAAAGTTGCTCAATTGGAATCATACGGAAAATTAACTCCATTGCCAATCATCGATGTTGTCAAAGTTTTAGGACAAATCAAAGAAAAACTTGAAAACAATTACGTCCATCTCTCAATTCTCCAGTTCATTGACAGATCAATTCCTTTGTTACAGTCCTATGATGGATTCAAGCAGCCACAGCAGCAATTTGCTGATAAAGAAATACTTGTTACACACTTAGGACACTGCAGATTCGTTGTTGCAATAATGAAACAAATTTTGATCGCAATGTTAGATGGATACGGCGAATCAGATGAAAACAACAAAGACGACGAACCACAACAAGAAGAAGGCCAAGATGGAGTTGGTTTAGGCGAAGGCGTTGGCGAACAAGACATCACAAACGAAATTGAAGACGAAGATCAGTTACTCGGTGACAATGTCAACACAAATAATGATAAACAGGATGAAGACGAAGTAGACAGAGAAGGAGGTTTCGAAGTGGAACCAGACATGCCTGAAGACGCTCCTGATGTTTCCGCCCATGAAGAAGAGGAACAAATGGATGACGAAATGGGAGAAACAAAGGACGGAGAGAATGTCAATGAAAGAAATGCAACAGATGATAAAAACATGGCAGATAAAGAAGCTGATCTCGAAAAGGAAACAACAAAGGAAAATACAATGCAAGACCAAGAAACTCCTGAAGAGGATCCAAATGAAATCAGCGATAAATCCGAAGATGAAGACAAAAACAATTCAAGTGGCGAAATTTCAATAAGTGAACAAGAAGACGAATTCGAATCAGATGCAGCTCAATGGGATGAAGAGCCAGAGAAGATAGAAATACCAAGCGACGACGACAGAATGTTGGAAGGAAATCCAGAAGGAGAGGAAGAAGAAACCAATGAGAAAATCGTCGAAGAAAGACCTCCCGACATCGAAGAAGAACCAGATTTGTTCGAAGGAAAGACAGCACAAGACAAAGCAAATGCTGAAGAAGAAGACAACAATGAACAAGAAGATATCGAAGGCGGCGGAAAAGGAGAATCCAAAGGAGCAGGAGATGACGGAGAAGGAGGAGAAGACAAAGCAAACGAAGAGGAAGAAGAAACGAAAGACGAAGAGAAAATACAAGAAAAGGAAATGGAAGATATCGAGAAACAGCTTGAAATTGTACAGAAGAAGATCTTAGAAGGCGAAGTCAAAGAAGGAGACGAAGGAGGACAAAGAGATGAAGATGGAACAGAAGGAGTAATTTTGCCTGCAGAAGAAGCTAAAGAAATTCCAGATAGGCCTGAAGAAGAAGATAAACAAGAAACAGAAGAAAACAAAGCAGCAGCTCCTGGTGATCAAGAAGGAGAATTCATTGAACCAACAGGAGAAATCAATGAAGAAGACAACGGAGAAAGAACATCAATGAATTTCAAAGTTGTCGAAGGAGAAACTTCCAAAGTTTCAACAGAAAAAATCACTGCAATCGATAGAACAATAACTGAAGAATCAAGAGCGAAATGGATCAGCGAAATCAATGATACACACGACTCTGCAGCCGAACTCTGCGAGCAACTTCGATTAGTACTTGAAGCAACAGTTGCAGCGAAGATGAAAGGAGATTTCAGAACAGGAAAGAGACTCAACATGAGAAAGATCATTCCTTTCATCGCTTCCGAGTTCAGAAGAGACAAAATTTGGATGAGAAGAGTCCAGCCTGACCAGAGAAACTACCAAGTTATGCTCGCAATTGATAACTCTGCTTCAATGGCTGGAGTTTCCGGACAATTGGCCATCAAGTCTGTCTGTTTGATCACACAGGCATTGACGTTGCTCGGAATCGGAGATCTTTGCGTCACAAGATTCGGAGAAGATGCAAGGATTGTTCACAAACTCGGAACACAATGGAGTGAAGAAAGTGGTGCGGCTTTGATTAACGCATTCACTTTCGACGAACAATCTACAGCTATTGATGTTTTACTTGAGAAATCAATCCAGTATTTCGAAGGAGAAAACAAAGGAAATGCAATGCAGCTGTGCTTCATCATTTCTGATGGTGTTTTCTCAAACAAAGACAAAGTAAGAGAATTGATTATTCAAGCACAGCTTAGAAAGCTTCTTATTGTCTTTGTTATCATTGATAGCCAGACTAAAGAGAGAAACAGCATCTTGTTGATGAAGGAATTCGTAAACATCAATAACAAGATGACAGTCAAGTCTTATCTGGACACATTCCCATTCCCATTCTACGTTTTGATTAAAGATCCTGCTTCACTACCTGAGAGATTGTCTGATGCACTTAGACAATGGTTTGACCTTGCAAATGCATCACAATAATTTATATATAGATTTTTTATAGAATTTTATTTATATTAGAACTTTATTTATAAAAAAAAGATATTTATTTGAAATTATGTTTTTTAATTGAACTTGGAGATAGATTTATTTAGACGCATCTTTGAAAATAAAAGGATATCGAAAGTATCAAGGATTATCATTGAATCTATTTGGAGAATTTATGTTATCTGTTTCGTATTGCAACTTTGGATCAAAACATAGCTGATACACCGATGTAAATCCCGAATAAATGATGGGAATTATAGAGTAAATAACAGTTATTGACTTTACATTTATATAATTATTAAACATTTGGCTAAGTTTTCAGGTAAACTTTCGTAGATATATATCCCACTAAATTTCTTTCAATTGTGCCTTGTCAGCGAGGAAAACTAAGGATTTGAAAAGTCCCTTGTAATGATCAAGAATTCATCATCATATTTAAAATGGCCTAAGCCTGGGTTGGATCATTTGTGTGGTTTCTTTCCTCGCCTTTTACTAGGAAGGACCGCGGGTCAACCAATTAAGGGTCTGTGCCGCAATTTTTTTCCGCTGGTTCAAATCCCGACAATAGCTTTTTTTCTCTTATTTGTTTCAATCGGATCACAATTCAATCAAAAACATTTTCATGAATTAAATTAAAAATATCTTAAAATGTAATGCAACTATGATATTAATTTACTAAAAAAATTTGAAATTATTAAAAGATTTTGATAAAAATTTAGTTAACCCAAGCAGGATCTACTAGGGATGGGTCTACAATGTAAGGATTTACATTGCCTTGGTATTGATTTACCAAGTTGTTACGATTAATTTCGTGTTCTGATGGAGGATATGTTTTTGCCCAATTTATGAAGGTCTGGAGGTCACCAACTTGTTCCATCTTTACATCTTTATCATCATACATTGTGAACCAGTAGAGGACAGCTCTTGCAACTTCACCTCTGTCAGAAACTCTTGGCATCCAATGATTTGACTTCGATAGACATGAGTAATCATCTGGGTTATATGGCTTATTTGTAGTGCAATCGTTGTTTATGCACCAACAAGCAACTTGATCATATGAGAAATTTCCAAATTTGTAATTGCCGCGCTTATTGTTTAATTTGCATGGTGCTGATATCAAATGGTGCAAATCTGAAACCATTGGAAGTCTTTTGCTGAAAAATGATTCTGGAACAATATGTTCTGCATTTACTGATGTGGTAGAAGGTATCTTAGTACCACCGCATTCCCATTTTATTGAGTTGCCACCATATATTAAGTGAAGTTCTCCATTTTGGCAATCAATATTGTTGTACATGTAGCGTTTTGCATCGTCGTATTGATATATATTGTGATTTAAGTACTTCTTCTTTAGTTCAGCACGGAAAGCTGCATCACAAGAAATCAATTTTGCAAAAATCGGAAGCATTTTTCAAAAAATGAATTCAATTCATATTTATTGAACTGTCAACATACTGAATCAATATCTATATTTGACTTAAAAAAAATCTCGAAAAATAGAAATGCAAAAAAGTGACAATATGTCATCAGAGCAAAATTACACTTTAAAAGACTCCACAAGAATTAAGCTAATGGAAGCATTTGCTCAATTGGATGGAGGTCTAGCACAATTGGAACGCAGAATAGACTACTTAGAAAAAACAATTGCGAATGTCGACCAACGTACAACTGCTTTACAGATTAAAATCCAAGAAAGAGCCTTAACAGGATCTATCGGAGCCAAACAATAACTTCATGGCTCAAAACTATCACTTTTTTCTTATATTTGCAAAAAATATTTGTTGGAATTCATCAAATTGTTAAATGCAGACATTTATTGTTTATACTTACATTCCTTTCTTTATTACTAAACGTTTGTTTATTTTTATAAAATATTATATTATTTTTTCTTTTCTATGACTTTTGAAATTCATTAATTTCTTAAATAGCTTGAAATAGACTAAAATACAGTATATCTTTATTAATTCAAACAAAAAATAAAAAATTATTTATGAATTGAGGATAATGCTTGCCTAACTCTCTGAGATAACAAAGGAATCGATGATTTTGCACCTCTTGCTACAGATTCTCTATAATCATATTTTGATAGCAAATCAATTTGTTGTTTTTTACAATTTTTGAGTTTTACTTTGATTTCATTAATACGAGAAGCATATTCTTCAAGTTTTGGCTGCTTCTGAGTTATAGTTCTGTAATCTTCTTCGGGAATCAAAGGATCTCTTGAATTTACAACTCCAGAATAATAAGAAACCCTTGGAAAGTTCTCTGACTTAAGGGCTTCAAGAGAAAGCACTTCATTGTCAGAAATAATCTTGTCTACATCAAGAATATTTTCACCAGAAGTGAATTTGCGGAGATTTGATGCCAAATTAAATGAATTTGTCTGCAACTCAGAAAATGAACTGTTTCTGATGTCAGTGGCCGATTTCTTTAAGAAATCAGAAAATTCTTCCAAAGCTTTTGTTCTATTAACAATTTCATTGGCAAAGTTTGCATCAAACTGAGAGTTTTGCTTTGATCTACCTTGACTTAATGAGCTTTTCAGTTCAGAAATCTTCGAATTTGCTTCTTTTGCAAAATTAGAGAGATTTGACTCATATTGATCAATATCTTTCTGCTTGATGATGTTTTTGCTCTGAGAGTCCATTAAATTATTGATTTCTTCTTGGATTTTTTGGAATTTTTCTTCATAATTATTCAAAACACTTGAATTCGATTGATTTTCGATCAAATTCTTAATATCAATAACTCTGTTCTCCATTTCTTGATTAAGATCAGTGAATTTCTGCTGCATTAAGCTAGGAATTCCGTTTATTTCAGCATTTACTGAGTCAATTAGTGAGTCTGTCTTAATTTCAAGGTTTTTATTCATTTCATAAAACTCATTCACTTTTTCACTGACAGATTTTTGATTTTCGTTAATTTGGTTTGAAATTACGTTGAATTTTTGAATTTGCGACGCCATCGAAGAATAAACCAACTACAAATTATCCGGATTATTCATTAACTCGTTAGTTCTCGAATTTACTTTGTTATATAACATGAATAAATTATTATAAACAGGATCGTTCTTTTTGGAAGCATTATAGTGTTTAAATGACTTAATAGTTGATAACTGATCTTCATATTTTTCTTTTATTATTTTATATTTTTTAGATAAATTATTTTGGTCTTCTTCAAGCATTTTCAAGCGAGTTGAAACATGTGATGCGAACTTTTCCATGTTTTTCATTCCATCCAATCCAATAATAACCTTTTGCAAATTTTCTGAAGATAAAACATTATTTTGGTTGTTTTCGTCAACAACAGCTCTTTGATTAATCAAATTATCAATTTCTTCATTCATTTTCTGCAAATTTTCTTTATGAGAATTTGAATAATTTAAAAATTCGTTTTCAGACATCAAAGACATGGATTTATTGTGTTTCATGAAGTCTTCTATTACTTGGTTAGCATCTGATAGCAACGACCTGGCTTCTGAATCAATTAAACTAAAAAATCTCGATTGATTAATTGATTTTTCTCTAAACTTGTCTGAAAGCTGTTTATTTCTGCTTTCAAGATCCTGCATGATGTTGGGGACATCGTTCATATATGATCTAATCATTTCATTCATTGAATCTCTTGTGAAAAGTAAATCTTGAAATTCTTTTTGAATTTGATTGATATCTGATATAAAAACTTTTAGCTGCTCTATTTTATTCGATATATTATTGATAACATCTAACTGCTTATCATGTTGAGCATTAAATTGAAGAATAAAATCGTTATTTGCTTGATTATTTGATAACTGAAATGTTTGAGCGTATTTGAGGTATTTCTTTATTGGTATTTGATTGATGCTAGTGAAATTCTTTTTTATCGCATTAAATTCTTCATTTGTCGTATAATTGAGTTCTTTTTTGTTAAATTGCTTCATTTCATCGGAAATTGCTTGATATATTTCAGTTTTCTGACGCAGATACTCTAAATTATTTGAAAATGTTGCTTTTGCTTGTAAATAATTTTCAATCTTCGAATGATTGATAGATTTTGATGAGTTTAATGCAGTTATCAAGATCGATTTAAGGTATTGTATCTTTGTTAGTTCGTTTTGTAGTTTTTCTACATTATTTTGTATATTAATTTTTGAACTTGATTCATTTTGGATATTATGAATGTGTAATAGTATCTCATCTAAATTCTTATCAATTTCTACCAGATTTATCTGTCTTTCATTGACATCCTTAAAGATAGGATCTGTTTTACTAGTTAATTCAGAAATATCAAACTGTAGCTTACTAATAACTTGTAAAAGAAGCTGATCATCAGATCCCCTCGGTGACTTTGCTGATGAACTCTTCTTCATTTTGATGACGCGTTTTTTATTTTCGCCCTAAACAAGTTGGGAAATTTACATGACATATACAGGAATTTTGTCACGTAAATTTTTCAATTTCCATAAAATCGACATTTTATATGTTTACAAAAAATGAGCATTTCTAACAAGAATATATATAATTATTTAAAGAAAAGGACTCTTTTTTTTAATTTCTTATCAATTAAAATTGAATCGATGTTCAATGATTTCTATACTTAGACCGTGCAGGTACACAATTATATTCCAAGATTTTTTCCAAACAATAAAATAATTCACTCATAAGCTTGAAATATATGAATATCATTTTTTTACGCTTTTCAAAATAATTATCATTTGGTTTAAGGGTGCACCCGTATGTACGTTTATTTGAGAGGAGGAGGATTACCCTCTCAATTTTGAGGGATTCGTTAGTTTATTTTCTCGATGAATATGCAATAAAATTTGATTTTTACCTTATCAATATACTTCATATAATATACACATGTTTATGTAAAAATTTTTTCCAAAATCCTCAGGAATTAAGGGATTTTTGAATTTTAAGAATTTTTTTCGAATTTTTTCGAAAAAAAATATTTTCAGAACAGCCTTAACGGCTAAGATTTAGGAACAATGTTAAGTATCAAAAAGAAAGGAGGTCTGATATAGACAACATATATCGTTGAAGGTTGAAAAAATCTCTAATATTTGAGCCCAAAATTTCAAATTTTAATTTTTTGAAAAAAGAGGCCACCCGTATGTACGTTTATTTGAGAGGAGGAGGATTATATTTTTGAAAGGGTGAAACATTATGAATATGTTAATTATATAATAATATGTATTATTATAAAAAAGAAAAAATAAAGCACGTTAAAATTTTTCTTTCTTGATTTTTTACAAAATCTACTTAGAATTATGCAAAATATGACTAAATAAAAAAAAAAAAAAAAAAAAAAAGAAAAAAAGGTAGTGGGGCTTCCAGGCGCGTTGCGCCCTCTAGCCCTGAAGATGTTTAGTATAAATGAAGTTTATATTCGGAGGGCTTCCAGGCGCGTTGCGCCCTCTAGCCCTGAAGATGTTTAGTATAAATGAAGTTTATATTCGGAAATTGTTAGTCTTCTGGGTCGAAAACATTATATAATGTTTCACTTTTCACAAATTATATATGTTTTCATGCTTTGTCACTTTTCTGTCACTTTTCGGGTAAAAACATTTTTATTATTATATATAAATGAATTTTACAAAACCACCGTTACCGTTCTTTGGAAATAAGAGTAGATGTAAAGATATTATATTGAGACAACTTAAGAAACTACCGAATGGTCTAACATTTGTAGATTTGTTCGGTGGAAGTTTCTATATATCCCATTTATGTCATACAATATTCCCAGACTCAAAGATTATATGCAATGACTTCGACAACTATATGGACCGTCTCAAACATATTCCAGACACAAACAATATATTGAAAGAGTTAAAAGAAAAGATACCTATAGGTAAGATGGAACGTATACCATTAGATAAGAAAAATATTGTGAGAGAGGTTTTGAAAAAAGCAGAATATATAGACTGGGATAGTATATCTGCTAGACTATTATATAGTGGTGCTATAAGAGTTCATGACATTGAAACACTTATGTCAAAAGTTTTATATCTTAACTATACAAATGTTTTCAAAGAGGACATAGAAAAATATATTGAGGGTATAGAGTTTGTGAGATGTCATTGGACAGAGTTGTATGAAAAATATAAAGACAAGGAAAATGTTTTCTTTATAGTGGACCCGCCGTTCTATAACACATGGGATTTTCAATACCAAGTAGACTGGACTTTGCGAGACTCTTTAGAAACTTTAGACGTTATACATAACCATCCATGCTTTTACTTTACATCCGATAAAAGTGGTTTGGAAACCGTTATGAGATGGTTAGAGGACATACATGACTATGAGTTTATATATGACAAGATAGAATATGAGAGAGGTCCTATAAACCGGAGAAAGTGTCACAATAAAGAAATTTTATTAGTAAGTAAATGTGGTTTGAAATAGGACTACTTGTTTTAGGTTTTTTCCATTGTGTCATTTATTTATTTGACGTGGCAGAAAAGTACAGAGAATATGAAGATGAACCAATGCCTGCAAATGTTCAGCATATGTACTCGTAAGAGATATTTTTATCTAATATTAAATGGACGCACAGAACTTAGCGAATGCACAGCAACCTGGACAACCAAACCCAGAGAATATTCCAAATGAAGTTAGAATACAAACTGCAATGGCAAACTATGGTCAAGTGCCAACAGATGTACAAATGCAAACTGCCATGTCAAATGACGCTGCGTTAGGTTTGCCACCATGGTATGCAAATATGAGATGGAAAGAGTTTTATACAAACCCTGAAGTGGGATATAAACAACTTTATGCAGATGACGCGAACACAGGAGTTGACCCAGAATATGTTTTCTACCAGAGGAGAAACAGAATGTATGAGCTCCAGTTAAAGAATGCTATGGAACTCAACAGGAAACGTAAGAGACTAGGTGGACATTAGATTTTTACACGTAGTAAATGGGTTTCTTTGGAAGAATAGGAAACTTCTTCAGAAGAGTTGGAAGAGGTATATGGAATGGAATAAAAACCGTAGGAAGAGGAATTTGGAACGGAGTCAAAAATATTGGTAAAAGAGTAGGTCAGTTTGTTGGTATTATACCTAAAGACCCTGAACCAGAAGAACAAGCTCCTGTAATACAACAGCCTGAACCTGCACCACAGTCAAGTTGGCAACCAAATCCAACACCTCAACCGTATTAAAAAATTATATTTTTACCGTTCGATAGTAGTTGTATATGAAACTAAGTTCTAAGTAAAACGCATGGTATAATGGAATTATTCTTTTTCTTCCATCTGTAGTAAACCATACTTGAAAGTCTGAAATACTTCCACTCGGCGGTTCATATAACTTTGTAGGTTTTTCGTAAAAGTCATTTGCCAAGCATAAGAAAGAGTTTTGCGCACCAGAAAATGAAGCATGAACAATAATAGCATCTTGGTCGAAAATATTTTCATATGTTCCATTAGGGTTTTCGACTTCATAATAGTCCGGGTGTACTGGATATGCTGCAGGCTGATTTAACATCCTCATAAATCTATACCATGCCAAGTTGTTATATTTTGTAGAAATATAAACGTTTTCTCCAAGGTCTTCTATTTTATTGATTTTAACAGTTGCATTTTTCCTGTCATAAATAATATCGAGATGGTATTCTCCTTCGTCAATGTTATACTGGTTTGCATATTCAATATAGATATCGTTTATTTTTTCTTGAAAAGCTTGAAGAGTTGTTTCTAAGTTTACAAGCAAACTAACTTGTAAAAGTTTTCCCTGTTCAAATTTCTCATACATACGTTTTTCTTTGTTATAGTATCGAACTTCAAAACCGACCGTAAATGGGAAACCATGTATGGCTTCTGAAATGAACTTCATTCTACGAAAGCCAATAGCTTTTGTGACGGATGGGTCTCTTAACCATCTTAATGGGTAGTCAAAACGATAGCCTTCATGCTTTACGGTATCTGTCTCAAACTTTTGACCGACATTAGTAAAAAGTTCATCTAATGGTTTAGTTGTAGCAACTCTAGAATTTTCTTTTTCTATTGGAAGCATATTTTATCTATAATAAAAATGTCAAATGAAACAGCGTCTATGAGAGAAATACAACACAACCGACAACTCATTATGCAAGCTCTAAATAAGAACACAACAAACTTTTCAAACTATTCTAAGATATCTGAGTCATTGAAAGAAGGAAACTTAAAACTGACATTAAACCCAATGACAGATGAGTTTCTATTTCAAGACAAGAAGAACAATACTGTCTGTATAAATCCAACAAAAGGAACTTTAAACGAGAAACCTATAAATGAACTTCTTTTGAAAGCAGATGTTGACAACAAAGCTGACAAAGAATATGTAGACGATGCAATAGCAAAAGAAGAAGAAAGAGCTAACAATGCTTATGCAACAAAAGAACATACTCATCCTGAACTAGCAGACAAAACATATGTTGACAATAAAATGTCAAGTGAAGTGACAAGAGCTGAAAACGAATATTCTAAAAAGACTCATATACATACCATTGCAAATATTACAAACTTACAAGAAACCTTAAACAGGAAAAGTGCCGTTGGACATACACATTCTATATCTGAAATAACAGACTTAAACGTTAGCCTTGAAAAGAAAGCGGATAAGGACTGTGTGGCTAGTAAGTTAGAGAAGAAAGCGGATAAGGAATATGTGGATGAAAAAGATAATGAAATTAAAGAAAGGGTTGAATGGTATCATGAATGGACATCGAAGATTTTTAAAACTAAAGCTGATACAGGATGGGTTTCAGGATGTTTAGACCTTAAAGCGGATAAAACTTATGTTAACGATGAGTTAGAGAAGAAAGCAAATAAGACTCATACACATACAAGTTTTACAACTTTTACAGCAGATGATATTACACTAAACACAACCTTGCCAAGTAAAGGTCCAACAATACCACCGGCAACAAGTCTTGTAGATACTTTGATATCTAATGACAATAGTATTATGCATCTAAGACAGGAACTCAATGTGCTTAAACAAATTTTGCCGAATCTTATTTACCCGGTTGGCTCATTATATGTTTCAATGAACTCTACCAGACCAGAAGTAGTACTTGGTTTTGGAACTTGGACTCAAATAGTCGACAGGTTTTTGTATTGTGCAAACTCTTCAAAGGAAACAGGTGGAAGTAAAACGATTTCAGGTGAAAATTTACCTGCACACAGTCACTACATAGATTTAAGTACATCTCAAGCAGGTTGGCATAAGCATAGATATTGGGATTGGTCAGCAATGACAAAAGGTAAAGGATATGATGTTAAAGACAACGTTAAGTTTGCTATAAATTGTTACTGGAGTAACACTGAGGGAGGAGGAAACCATACACATCACGTTTCAGGATATACACAAACAACGGGACAAAGTAAAGAATACATGCCACCTTACATGACAGTTTACGCATGGTATAGAATTGCTTAGTCGTCATTTTCAACTTCTTTAGCATATTCGTCAGGAGTTGTCTTATATTTGTTAGGAACTGTCTTTGAAAGTATACCACCTTGAACTTTGACAAGTTTGAAACGAGGTCTGACAATAGTAGTTTTATCTTCTGCTTGCAGTGTGTACATTTTGCCATGTTTGCCTAAAACTTCATAATATTCTCTTGTATACTTTCTTCTATTTTTACGAACACGAAGGTGAGTACCTGTCGGGTTCCCATTGTTGTCATAGTCAATAGTATTTTCATATGGGTCGCGTTTAGGTATTTCTATTTTTACTTTGTCACCTTTCTGAAGTTTGAAGCCTGGCATTCTTTCTTGTTTGTCTCTTTTGACTAAATTATTAAATATATAGTCTTTCTCTAAGTCAGGGTTGTTTTTCATTTCTTCGGGGGAGTGGTTTCCCAAACCTTTTTGTTTACGGTTATTGTAAATATTTAAAACTTGTCTCATCTTTGCCTGGGAGAAGTGTCTATATTTGTCGTCATATGACATTTCATTTGCTTCACCACCTTGTGGTTGGTTTAAGTCTCTTAACATTTTTATACATCCGTCAATGACACCAAGAGCAGAATGGTTTTGGTCGACAATGAAATATTGGTTTACATTTTTTGAACGCAGATAGTTTTTAATATCATCTGATTTGAAAGAACTTTCACAGTCAGATGTCAGTTTTGTTGGATGGTATTTGTCAACGAATATTGTCAAAGCAGTTTTCACATCTAAAATATTTTTGGACCATAATGGTATGGCTTCACAGTATCTTGTGTTTTGACCAACAAATATTAACCAGTATGGTGGTCCATCTGTTCTAACTCTCGGAATGTTTTCCAAGATATCCATAAACCAAGCATTTGGTGTTGAACTAAAGATTTTTATCATGAGTGCTTTCTTTGTCGCTTTAGAAACATAGGGGTCCTTGTTTGGATTCGTCATTTTTTAACCCATAAGAAATGGGTTTATTTGGCGCATTAGCAGGAGTTGCATCCAGATTTTTGCCCGCAGTGGGAACAATAGCCAGAGGTGCATTTGGAATTGGAAGGAAGATTTTGAGTACATTAGGTATACTTAAAGAGAAAGCACAACCTATTATACAAACTGTACAGAAAGGTTGGGAGGTAGCACGAGATGCAACAAATCTTATTCCAAATCCTGAAACAAGAGGAAAAGTTCAAGGATGGATGGACAATGTAGGAAGACAAGCAGGAAACTATTATAACAAAGCAAATGACTACTATAACCAAGCAGGACACTATATGAACCAAGGTGAAAGATTCTTTAACAGAGGATATAACCATGCACAACAGTGGGTAAACAATAACCAACCTCAACCGCCTCAAACGTGGGGAATGTAAAGTTTTTTACTGAGATGAAATGAACAATGCAGCTTTAAACAGAATAAGTCATGGAAGACCACCTTTTACACCACGTGTTTGTAAAGTTCTTCCTATACCTCAGGAAGTTTTAGACCGACTTAAAAAACCTAAACAACCAGTTGAAAACAAACCAAACTAAAATTTTTTACTGAGATGAAATGACCGAAGAAGTTGAAACGGTAGATTTGACACCACAAACAAAAAGTTCAGAACCATTGTCAAAACCTGTCAAAGAACTTACAGATGAAGAGAAAAATTCAATAATAGAAAGTGCCAGGTCTGGAAATACAAACCCTAACTACAAAGTCACTTTTCATAAAAATGGAACGGCTAGTATCTCAAAAAAGAAACAGACTCTCACAAATAAAATATTGAAGTCTGAAGGAGCTTTCGAGACAACAGATGGAAAAGTTTACTTCACTGACCAACAGTTCATTATAGAACATCTCATTGACTTAGAGTCGAAATATTCTAAACTTTACAACAAACACAAAAAGTTGAAAGGAAAACAAAAACAAATGGCATATGATATTTATGAAGATGTTGACGACACAACTGTTCCGGCAAGTGAAGTAAAGTCAGAGGAACCGAAAAGTGACGAAAAACCGATAGAAGAAGAAAAACCAAAAACTGAAGATAAACCAAAACCAAAGTTTAGTTTGGAAACTAAACCAAGTCAACCTTCATTAGCTGGTATGGGTTGGCGTCAAAGACTTATGGCAGCAGGCGGTTATGTTAAGTAAAGAAAAAAATATATTTTTTTATTTTTATAAAAATGCCCCCATATAGAATGGATAGAAAGTCTGCTAGAATAAAAGCAGAGTTACAAAGATATGGTTGGAGAGTTTCGAAGAATTTTAAATATAGGAAGGGAAGACCCATAAAAGTCTATGACAAATTGTCTGGTCTTCGCTACGAAATGGATTTGGAAACAGCACGTGCCAATTATCCAAACAGACTAGAGAGGTTAGAAGAAGAACGTCTTATGAACATGCCTTTCGATGTTAGTGAATTCAAGTTGAAGGACACGACGGCTTTGCCAGATTCTACTGGAAACATGACGAACAATTGCATCCTTTGAGAAGGAAAAAAGGAAAAGGTGAAGACACACATGCTCCATGGAAAGAACAAGATATGCATATGAAAAGTATCGTGAAGTTAGAAGTCAAATTACATCTGGTCGAACCTTTACAGTAAACTTTGACGAAGGAAAGAACAAGAAGGCTTCATGGAGTACTTGCTGCCATACAAGACGGAAATAAGAAAGGACACAATCTCAGATTGACCATAACAGATTTGGATGGTCACATTTACTATGCACATGGCAATGAAAAACAGCCGCAAAACTTCTTGACGCTTTCAAGACTACAAAGAGAGAACAAATGGTTGACTCCGACTCAGACATTTTGAATGCAATTGAAGGAATTGCAAGTGTCAAGTTCGAATGGTACCAACCTAACCCTCAAGCAGTCAGACAACATGCTGGATACTTCCCCTTCATAAATAAGTCTGACATTGACTTGACAAGGTATGGAATTTACAATTCAATTGAAACAATTGTCAATGAACCTTGTTATTCTTACATGTCTCAGGAACTCTGGTCTTGTTACAGATGAGAAGATGAAGTATCTTGAGTCATGTGTGAAGACAAGGTACATTCTCAGAGGTCAATTGGCAAAAATTGCACCGTTGGCAAAATGTCAATCTCCGAGTCAACATACCTACAGCTAAGGTTCTTCACATGACGACTATGTTGTTGAGTTCAATTTACCATGGTTGAAGATTGTAATTGTCCACAACCACTTCATGTTGAACGAAAGTCTTACAAACCCATTGTTCGGAAAAGGCAAGTGCAACATTGTCAGAGCTGTAAACATTCTTTTCGAGAAAGGTTTGTTTGGAACCAATTCCAGATGACAAGCTTACAGAAAGTTTATACCAAAAGACGAAACAAACTTTCATTGTTAGCAAGACCAAAAGTTTGTTCCAGACAAAGTTCTAGTACAAAAGAAGTACACAATTCCACAAGGAGTTGGATTGTTCGGATACCAACCTGAACCAGAAGAACTTCCAATGAGGTTGCAAGAACTTCAAGATGCTATAAACAAACTTCCATTGAGACATCCAATTGACGTCAAATTGTATTGGAGAGCATCTGAGTTAGGTCAGAAGGTTTTATATGAAACAGGTTGCTTCGACGATGTTTATGAGATAACAGGAGAAGTTTCTCAGAAGATAAGAGACTCACTTGAATTTCCACAAACTGGACCAATTGGTTGCGACAAGTTCGACTCAAACGAAAAGATATACTATGTCGACCTTAACGCTGCATACATGAGGTTTGTCCAATATATTCCGACTGGAATTCCAAACGAAGATGGTGAGTTCCCGGGAAGGAACTATACAGTTGGAAAAGTCATACAACAACTGTATGATATTAGGAAAGCTTCAAACCCCAAACTTGCAATGACACTCAAATTGCTTATGAATTCGACATGGGGATATTCCATTAAGAAACCTCAAGAGATGAAGAGTAAACATTATGAGAAGGTCGACAACTTTGTTGAAAGGTTTTCTCCTTTTGTTTTGAAGTACGAATTCACTCAAGGTCAAAGTGGCTTAGTAACCACATTAAAACCTATTGTCGAACATTGGTCTTACCCTCAGTTCGCAAAGGCAGTCCTTGACAACTACAACAAATTCTTCTCGGAAGTCAAATCGAAAGTCAAGGTTTACTATGAGAACATTGACGCACTCATGACGAACGAAGAAGGCTATAACAAACTCATTGAAATGGGTTTAGTCGGTGAAAAGATGGGTCGATTCAAATTGGACAAAATTTTCACCGAAGTTCATGTAATATCGAAAAGGAAATATTGGGGCATACTTGAAGACGGCACAGAAATAAAACATTGCATGAAATAAAAAATTTTTATTCGAATTTGAATTTAAATGTGGGAATTCTTGGGAAAGGGTTCTCTCTGTTTGGAAGTAGTATCCAAGGACGCTTGGCAAAGAACTTTATAATGGCTTCCTTCTTTGCTTGCTTTATGTCGTCGAAAGGAGTGTTTTCTGGTACCTCAATTGGAATTCCGGTCGAAGTCTCGAGATTCAAGGCAGCCCTTCCCGTTATCCAACCGTTAACAAGCTTGCCTTTTACATTCTGCCTGAGGAAGTCTTTAACAAGCTCGTTAATTTCAATTAGGTAAATTGCCTCGTCGGTAGGTTCGACCTCGACCATTGCTACTGTCAGTAAAAGTACTGCTACTGTCAGTAAAAGTACTGCTACTGTCAGTAAAAGTACTGCTACTGTCAGTAAAAGTACTGCTACTGTCAGTAAAAGTACTGCTACTGTCAGTAAAAAGGAAAATTTGAGAGGGTTTTCGACGATAAAGTACTGCTACTGTCAGTAAAAGTACTGCTACTGTCAGAAAAAGTACTGCTACTGTCAGTAAAAGTACTGCTACTGTCAGAAAAAGTACTGCTACTGTCAGTAAAAGTACTGCTACTGTCAGTAGCAGTACTGCTAGTAGCAGAGATTTTTATCGTTGTGGTCCGACGGTTAAGCCACAAACGAATGTCCCACGTCCCACCAACCCAGTCCATTCCCAAACCAGAGGAACCTAAAGAACCACAACAGTCTCCTCAGCAACCTCAGTTCCAGCAAGTACCTCCGAATTACTACCAATTTCCACCTCAGGGTTACTACCCACCACAAGGCTTCCCGAACTACCCTCCTCAGCCTATGCCTTACTTCCCCAACCCTTGGATGTTCCAGCAAGCTCCACCCCAGCAATTCCAATCTCAATCCAAATCGAAGAGAGACCAAGAGTTCGAAGAAGGTCTGAACCGTTTACGCAAAGATTATGCCACAGCCCCAATTGAGAGAAAGTTGTTCCCGGACCAAAAATATAATTTAGGTGAAGAGGTGAGATTTCACCTCTTTTTTCACCTGTTTTTTCACCCTCTTGAATTTTCATGAATTTTCATGAATTTTATATATTAATGTTTTCGTTAAGCCACTTTGTGCCGTCAGTCAGTCAGTCAGTCAATGAAATTTACACCAAAAATATAATTTAGGTGAAGAGGTGAGATTTCACCTCTTTTTTCACCTGTTTTTTCACCCTCTTGAATTTTCATGAATTTCCTTAAGATAGAAAAAATAAAGTTAGTTTTATTTTATTTATTTTTTTTATTTTGTATAAAAGATATGATTTCAGGGATTTTTTTGACGAAGTGTAAAACTTCACTTCGTCAAAAATAACAGTTATATAATGAAAAAGTGAAAGTTATTCTTCATTTTTTTGTATTTGACGAGAATGTCGGGTAGATGGTTAGATCTAACACGTTTTCTAACCTCATTTCTAACCGCTTGAATTTTCATGAATTTCCTTAAGATAGAAAAAATAAAGTTAGTTTTATTTTATTTATTTTTTTTATTTTGTATAAAAGATATGATTTCAGGGATTTTTTTGACGAAGTGTAAAACTTCACTTCGTCAAAAATAACAGTTATATAATGAAAAAGTGAAAGTTATTCTTCATTTTTTTTGTATTTGACGAGAATGTCGGGTAGATGGTTAGATCTAACACGTTTTCTAACCACTTTTCTAACATGGTCTAAAACTCTCGAAAATCATGAATTTTTGACATTTCCTTATGAAAGAAAAATAACGCTAATTTTTTTCTAAGAAAAATTTTTATTTTGTATAAAAGATATGATTTCAACAATCGGCACAACAACAATTCAAACAACAGCACCAAACTCGTTAGTTATGAATCCTACGTCAATGTTAGTAGAAATGAAAAGCTTTATTCCTTCTTCATATACTTTTGAAACAGAAATCCAGAAGATAAAGCAAGAACTTTTAACAAGTAATTTAGACTGTACCGCACAGGATGAAGAAAATGAAGAATATCTTTATGAAATGCAGGACATTATTGACCATTTGCCTAAACTACCTGAAATCCAACAACAAAAACTCACTATTCCTGAATTTGACGAAATTGAAGTCAAACCAACTGACTCAGTAGAAATAAAGAAGTTCATACGAAAGGTAAATTATGAATTCCTTGGTTTTCATTGCAACCATAAAGTTATGGACAAAGATTGCGATATGGTATATAAGAATGTTAGTTAGTATACCTAAGTCGTGTACTGAGGCACTGCGCTCCTCCGTACACCACTTAACCTTAAATATTTACAAAACCGTTAACGTATATTTTACAACACAAACGACAACACTAACTTAACCTTAAATATTTACAAAGCCACCAACCACTTCACCTCACTAATGTAAAAAATAAACGTTCTCACTTACAAAAGTATTGCAACTCCTCCCATTGCTGTGCTTCATATAACAGCTCATAATCTTCTGACTCACTTTCTTCTTCATATAGGTCAAAATCACTGTCATAATGAATGTTAGTAAGTTTTGACAAAGCTAATGAAACACGTTTACCGTTTGTATCGTATGCTTGTATAAACTTTCCATTCTTCATTCCTTCATAAACGCTCAAACTAACTTTACCCTTTCTCCCTCGTATCTGATAGAATGTATTTTCACGAGAAACGAAGAACAAATTCTTGAACTCATGACCGTTGTAGTTTGTTATCTCAATAGTTTTCGTCATTTATATAAAAATAAACTTAAAAATTAATGATATCACCACCATCACACGTATGAAAACATCCATTTAAATTTAGGTGAAGCGGTGAGATCTCACCTCTTTTTTCACCCTAGCCGCAAAGCGGCTCTGACCCTTTGGGTCTGTTGAATTCATTGCTTTATAACTCTCTTCCTTTCTCCAACTCTTCTAACTTCTTCCTAAGTTTAGCAACGTTGTCCTCATGAAGTTTAATCTTTCTCAAAATTCCTTCTTTATCTAATGGTTGCTTTATCTTTCTAAACTGAACTCTACCATCCTTCATAGTATGAACGTAAAAACCTTCTGGAATAATTCCTGATTTAATGTATTCTACCAAAAACTTTTGTTTCATTGCTTCAGTGACTTTAGTCGTCATTTTACTCTAAATAAAATGTTCAAATAAAATAAAACTAACATTATTTTTTCAGTAAGGAAACGCAGGAGTTTTACGATTTATTTGAGGAGTAGGTTCTGGTTTAAATGTTGGAGTCGGTTTTGGAGTTGACTTTTGAACAGGAGTTTGTACTTTCATAGGTTCAGGAGTCATTGAAGGTGTTGTTTGTGAAGGCGTTGGTTTTGACGTTGGTTTTGGCGATGGTGTCGGAGTTTGTTCAAATTCAGCTACTTCAGTATTATTTATAACATTTGCTTTGTTTCTTTTCAACATCATTACTGCTCCTGCTGTAGCTAGCAAACCTAGTGGGAGACCATATCTTATATAAGGACTTGACCAAATGCTATTTTTGACAGGAGCTGGTGGAACACCTAACCTTGGTGAGACTGCTCTTTGCCATTGTGCAGCTCGTAAGAAATATTCAATAGGTGCTCCATAATCGTTTGGTAAAGTTTGTTTCACAGATGGTGAAGGTTCACGAGAGCTTGATGAAGAACTCATTTATAAGCTTTAAAAATAAACGTTCATCCTTTATTCCTCACTGTCGTCCGCTGCTAAGTTATAGTCGTCAAGTCTTATTATTGGTATGCCTGACTGTCTTACTTGTATTGCAAAGCAACAATCCCTCATAAATCCAATAAGTGGCTTTGGTACATTTTCTGTTGCTAGTTCAATAGGTCCTTTAACAGACAATTTGTATGTTATTGGAGCAGTAGATGTTTGACCTTGCTGGAAGCAAAAGTCCACTTCTGTTGGAAAACCACATAAGAAATGTGTGTTGTCATAGCTATCCCATTTATGTTCCACACTACCATCATCCACCAATGACCTCATAACATCTTCATTAAATCCAATCATATCATTGTTTGTATTGCAAGCGTTCGCAACCATTTCATAAAATACAGGTCCATATGATTTTTCAGGTTCTGCAGGCATATTTCCATAAGCTCCCATGGAAAGCTGAAGATATTTAAACTTAGGGTTCTCAAAATTAACATAATAGTTGTCTTTCTTTCTAAATAGTGCCCAAATACTTTTAACATTAATAGGCGTATAAGCTGCTGTAAATGTTGCACTTGAACTATCTGTATTCTTTGAGAATGAACCATCCATAGGAATCCAATCCATAACTTTAACAGGAAAACATAAAGCCTCGTTTGTATAATGTTCTACAAGTTCTGTATAAATGTTAGGGTCTAAAGAGAATGACTTTGGATGAATAAAACATTCATTAAAATCCATCTTTGTTCGAAATAGTTGCTGGGTTACAGTTGTAATAGTAACTGTTCCACTAGCTTCAGTTGCACTCGTTATCATAGTGAATGGTTCATTCCATGGAACAAATTTATTTGTCGGTGGATTTGAACCTGAAGCAAATGCAACTTTAAGAGTTGGATTGAAAGCAATGATATCATTTACAGATATAGATGTGCATTGTAAGGCGTCGCTACTGAACTTTACTTTAAGCTGAATGTTTCCTGCAAAAGCTGGAATAAATCGAATAGGTTCTAATGGAAGGAATCTTCTAACAGGAATTCTTAAACGAAGCTTAAAATCAAATGATTTTCCTGCTGTAATTGGACCACCAACAATTTGTCCTGTTCTGCATGTTCCCGAATGACTCCATACATCTTTATGTCGAGTCTTTGAAAAAACATCGACTTTCTTTATTTGTTCGGTAGTTTGTGAGTTTGAAGTTATATATGCTTCTTCTCTTGCGTTGTCTTGAGAATATACGATACGACCATTTGCAAGGATTTGATATCCAGCAACTGCATAGAAAGCGTCATCGAAACCAATCCAAAATCCTGGTGGGTTTGTTTTATTGGAACCTGAACCAATTTCTTTATCTACAATAAATTGACCTTCCATTTTATACGTAATGAATGTATTGTAAAGGTCCAACATATTTTCACCAGGAGGTGAGAGATTGAATGTTACCCATGTGTTATCTTTAGCAGTTCCAGGTTGTGATGGAATCTTTGCGTCAGAATATTTTCTATTAGTGTCACCAATTTGAACTGCATTGTCTATGATATCGAAATATGAGCGAATCTGATGAATATGCTCTGCTGGAGTAAATTCGTTTAACTGTTCGTTCTGCATGTATTTACTTCAGATAAAAATATCTATTTACTTCATTATTCTCACTCTTCTTCTTGGTATTCGTGGTGGAAGTTGTTTCTTGACATTTTCAATGAACTGTACATTCTCTTTTGTCTCGACTTCTTTCACTGGTGGGTCAGGGTTCTTTGACTCGGTTTGCTTTTCAATGAAATTCACGAACTTTGCAATAAGCTCTTGGTTCGTTATTGAAAGTACATCTGGCTTCTTTTCTTCTTGTTCTTTTGGTGGCTCAGTTTGTACAGAAGGTTTTATATGGGCTTCGTGGCTTCGCCCTTGCCATGCACCTTAATGTTGTCGCTCTCTGTATTCGCTAATGGAACCTTTCTTTTTCTTACATATATTTTACCATCTTTACTCTGACTTACATAATAGAAAGGATGTTGTATTCCTCTGGCGTCATTTAATATAATAGACTCTCGTTCTGATTTTGACAAGCTCATTTTACATCGGTTAAAGTTTTAATTTAGTTTTTTATCTACAGTCAAATGACTCAGTCAAATCCTACGGACAAGACCCAAGGGGTCATAGATGTTGAAGCATTGAAGAAAGAAATTCGTGAACAAATTTTATCCGAACTGAAGGAACAAAAACCAGAACAAAAGCCAGAGAGACCAAAGAGAAAACTTAGTGAAAAACAACTAGCTGCATTAGCTGCTGGAAGACAGAAGAACCCACGTTTGCTGGCGAAAAAAGCTAGAGAAGAAGCAAAAGCAAAGGAAGAACAAAAAGCAAAGGAAGCTGAAGCAAAGAAAGAGTAAATGGTTTATTTTTATCCAAACTAAATGTATAGACAAATACCTTTATCTGTTGCGTTCAGTAGTGAAAACCCTGACGTCAAAATAAAGGGGAACAGAGTAACGTTTAAGTTTCCAACAGACTGGATTGTGAACATAAATGAAGAGAAGTACATTGGCATAACATCTATGTATATAACACGTGCTTTCAGAAAGGTTGACTTTATACTTCAAGTCGAGATAGAAAATGACGAACAGTCTTTAAGCGCCCAAAACATTCACATATACAAATACTTTAAAGACGATACAACATTGTTGCAATGTATGATTTCATTTAATGAGATGTTCGAGAAAAAGTTCAATATTGAAGTACAAACTTTACAGCCTTTACGTGAGTTTCTTGCACAACTGAAAGAAGAAGGTAGTCAGCCACAACTTATAGACTTTCATTATGAATTTAATGAAAATGAAGATGGAACTCATGACTGTCAGTTTGTTATATATTCACCATTCAATGAAGTCGCTAAAAAGAAAGAAAATCCATTACGTATAAGGTTTCAAATCTCTGAACCCAATGAAGACTTCAAGAATGTTTTCAATTATGATGCAATACTTCCGAGGAAAAATGAATTTTCAAAGATTGTAACACCTGGCATTTGGGATAGAAAGCAAGCTATATTATATTCAAACTTAAGTAAGGGAGTTGAAAATGAGTTCATTGGTCATACAAGAACTTCACCACTGTCAAATCCTAAGTATTACAAGCTTACTGGCTTCAATCGTGAGTTTTGGATAGACATGTTCTCCACTCATGACCATAAGTGCCCAGTGTTCTTACCTCCAGATGGGAAAGATTGTTTATACATTGAAGCACAATTGTTAAACTCTACAATAGCTGTATTGTAAATGACCACATAGGCTTCGCCCATGCCGCTAGCGGCTTATTTTTATCACAAATGACCTCATTGCTGACAAAAATAAATGACCTCAGAACTTCAACTTACGAATAAAGCTTGTTTTAGTCGTTATTGAAAAGTTGAACTTTTCAGCAAAGCAAGGTTGACATGACTTACATAAGTCGAATGCAATCTCTTGACCATCATAAAGTGCTTTGTAAAGTTTCATTAAACTGAACTCAGAGTCTTTGTCATATGTTCCAACAGGTATGTGAATGTTCTTATCTTCATTGTAATAGCATTGTATAGCTTCAGGAAACATTTCATTAGCGGTTAAAGCAATAACATCTTGCTTCACGCCTTTCATTCTGCAGTGAAATGCAACTTCATTTAAATCATTCGTGAGTAAGTCTATGTAGGTCTTCTTTCCACAGAAAATACTTTTATAAGCTAAACTTTGTTTTCCAGGTGTTATTTCTGCAAAGTCGCTATGAAATTGACCAAGGTTCTTTCCTATAAGTTCTCTACCGTATCTCTTCTTAAACTCTGCTGCAAGCTTTGGGATGTCTTCATTATATAAGTGCATACTGTCGGTATCCTGGTAAAATATTTGAAGACCCATGTCCTCTGCAGTACAGAATACTTCATTCATAATACGTTTTGACATAGACAGAATATTAACACCAAGTGGACAGAAGTTAAAGTGTCTGCAAATGCTTTTCGTTAGCTTGAAAATAGTTTTATCTGAACCATCCAAACCTTCGAACTTCACTATATGGTTGTAATTTCTTATAGCATATCTTATAGCATCTTTGTCATCTACTATGGTTATTTTTGACTCAATAGGAGATAGAATAGTTTTGCCATAAATGCTGTTCAGAATGAGTTTTATAATTTCTTGTAAGGGGTTTTCTTCTTTCTTATACTTTAACCTTAACTCAAACAACTTCTTTACTTCATCTCTTATTCTCATATCTCTGTTTCCATCGTAATAGTATCCTTGCAACACTTCACATTTGACACCTTGATATTTTATGAGGTCTTGTAATGTTATATGGTCAACATACATGAGACAGCAAGTGTTTGAACTTCTTGGAACGTTAAGTTCTGGATTTAGTTCAGGGTCGCAAACTATTAAATGAAAGTGTCTGGGTATACCAATCTCTGTTATCTTAATGAGAACAAAGAAGCCAGACATAAACTTTTCACCAATGGGTTCCTTTTGGTCATCATCGAATAAATGTCTCATGAGATACTCTGTGTTTAACATTTCTTCCTTCAATACTTTTGGAATACCTTCTAAAGTATAAAGTCTTGCTATAGCTGAAGGATATAATGAAACAGTGTCGAAGTCAGCAATGAGTTTCTTTTTGCTCTTTTGTTTCATGTTATCTGACAACATACATCTTCCACCTTGAATGCATCTCGAAATAAATTCTCTTGGTTTATTTGAGAGGTCATAAAGATTTCCATTCGGGAAGTATACTCTGTTCTCAAACAATTTGTTAGCAATTGAACAAATACTAACGTAGTCATAAACGTTTAAATCAAACTCTTTCAATAAGTCATTGCGGAACTTTACAAAACCTTCTCTTAAAATTCTTACATCTTGTTTGCAGTAAAACGTGCTATATTTTTCTAAGTCGAAGTGGTTCTCATCTATTCTGCAACCTTTGATGGAATCTATGTTTTTCATAAATGTATCTGCATCCCGGATAAACTTACATGCTTCAGAAATGACACCAGTTCTGTTGTCATTTGCTAACAAAACACTGCTGTAGTAGTTATATGGAAATACTTCTTTCGGTCCTGTTTGTAAGTTAAACATAGCAGGAAATAGTTTAAGCTTCTTATTTATAACACTGTAAGAGTCTTTTATAATAATTGCCCGTCCTTTATATAAACCAGTTATTTGCATTGTTCGTGAACCTTTAATGATGGGAGTTCCTTTCACTTCTGTCATGTGTCTTAAGATGAAGTTTATGTCATAACTGAGGTTGTGAAAATATATTAAACTCTTGTCAGGGAGTCTTTCCAAAAATTCTGTTGCACAGTTTTGACCCCAAATGCTTTCACTCACTGAACCATCTTCACTGTCATAACAGATGTTAAAAGCTTTATGAAAGCCATCCGTACTACACTCAAAGTCAGCAAAGAAAACGTGCTCAGGAATGAATTTACATTTAGCTTTATTTACTTCTTTTGACTCTGCTTTCTTCTTCAGTTGTACACAATACTTTGGAGCATATGTCAAATCTTTAAATGGTGCAAGGTTCTGTTTATATAAGTCAGTAGTATATGTGAAAAGTTCTCCATAAGAAATAGGTTCGAAATATTTGCACTCCCACAATGTTTTCATAACATCCCATAACGGTGTTGTTCTATCATAACGAACTACATATTTATCTTCTCTCTTTGTATAAATCTTCATCTGTTTCTCAATGTTCATTCCACCACAAGCTTTGAGAATTTCTTTATAGTTTCGAATGAAGTATGTTGTCATTGGAAGTCTTTCATTTAGCATGTAGTGGTCTTCAACAAGAAGTAAGTCAATAGTTCTAACAGTTTCGCATTCTTTTGGTATATATCTCTTTATTTCATTATGTCTTGAGTCATTGAAATAACCAATGGTAACATTAAATGCTATACCTGTTGCGTCAGAAATTTCTTGTACTTTACTTTGAGGAAAGTCTCTAACACGAATGACTTCTCTCATGTGGTCAATAGTTTCTTCATTTACTCCAGCCTGAATGCAAGCATAAACGAAACAATTGTCCTCTGTCATAAGTATTGCAGTTCTTTTGTTCAGTTCATTGAAGATTTGGTAGCGTTCAAGATTTATAGGTAATGTGCAAAGATACTTCCATAACTGACCGCTTCTCTTCTTATAAAACTTCTTTTCACCATTATCTTTCCAAAAGCTTTCTATAAGTGCTGGGTTTCCTGTTTGCTTAAGAGCTTCCAAAATGGCTTTCTGGTCATTTGTCAGTGTGCTTTCATCTCTATATGGTCTCTTTTTTGGTTTGCCTTTCTTTACATCTGACATCGTTAAGCCTTCATATTCTGTTAAATCATACATCTTTATTTCAGTAAGATTCTTTATGTTTGTCAAGAAGAAGTCATAGTGCATTTCAACAATACCTGCAGCATTTGCTTCTATCTCTGATATAAAGTTCTCCTTCAAGAGCTGATGTAGTAATGTTCCAATATTATTGAGGTTTAACGTAGAACATTCATACTTTCCACCAAGTTTATAACATACCATCCATCTTTGTTGCGAGTTTATTTTAATTTTCTCTAAGAGTCTCATGAAAACCTTACCGAAATGTTTGTGTAAATATTCTCTGTTTGGTTCATCTAAAGCTTCGATGTTAAAGTCAATGAGTCTATTGCCTGACTTCACATTTCTCTTCCTATTCTCTTCATCTTTCTTTAACCATCTCTCACCTTCTTTTGGTTTGTCGTCAATGGAACGAATGACATCGTTAGCTTTGCGAACTTGTTCTATAGCACTTTTAAACATCTCTCTTCTCTGTTGTTTCAGTGTGTCGTCTCTTCTTCTTGTTTCACCAACGTTTGCATTTGTTATGTCAAACATTTCTTGACGAACATCATGCGAAAGAGCTTTACGAGTATGACCAACGTTCGCATTTGTTATGTCAAACATTTCTCTTCTTACTTCATGAGGTACTGAACGTCTATGATATAAGTCAATAGCAATGTCATTTAAAGGAAATGCTCTTGCATGGACTTCGTCCTCGCCGCGTTGCGGCTTTATGAACTCATGAATTCTATCATAACTTATTGCACCATTGTAGTCTTTAATGAAGTCAGCGAGTGCTTTTTTGTTTGTCGCGTAATGTTTTGCAACATCTATATTAGCTTCTGTAAGAAGTTGTTTTATTTCCGAGTGTTCTAACTTAGACAACTTCCGATACATCTTTAGTAGGAAATAAAAAAATATTTTTTCGAAAAAATAAACTTAGAAAAATTATTTCTTTATATATTTGCCATTCCGAACTTCGAAAAGATGTTTTATACCAGCATAGAATTTTTCTCTAGAGCTTGGTCTTATATCGTTTTCATGACAATATTTTCTATATTCTTCATATAAAGCCTTTTTTTCATACATTTTATAAGGACAATCTAACCAGAATAGCGCATATCCATTTTCGTTATCTAGGTCTCTATATGTTTGTGGAATTTCGCTTTCTTCTGTTTGTAGAATTTCGCCTTCACTATTTAGTTCTATGTATATATATTGTGGAATTTCGCTTTCTCTATTTAGTTCTATGTCTATATATTGTGGCTTAAAAGGATGTGGGCAAGAAGGGTCTGGCGCTATGTAAAAAGTTAATTTTTCTGTCATCTTTTCTATCGGATAAAAAATATTTTTTGAAAAATTAGATTACATTTTTTTAAGTTATTTTTCAAAATAATTTAATATTTTTATTTTAATGAAACACATGCAAGATTGCAAGTTCTTTTCATACAATGCTCTCGCTACTGCCATCAAGAATGAGTTCAATGGTTCTCAAACGTTAATGTTATCTTTAACAAGAAGTTTGTGAAAGAATCTAAGTTCGGTCAGTATGTCAGACCATTAGCTATTGTCATTGACCGCAAACGTTATACTTCACAAGAGTTAGCAGTAGTTTTGAAACAAAAGGGTTTCTTCGTGAATGTCAAAGATACTCATTATACTGTTATAAAGAACTCCAACATTGACTTCTTCAGTATTGCTATGAATCTTTCCGAACAGAAAGAATATAAGAAGGGTGAAACATCTGTGAAATATTATCCTTCATCTCTGAAGACAATAACGAACAAAGATGTTATACAAAAGTTCTTACCAAAGGTTGAAGAAGCTTCTATTGACATTGACGAAGGAAGTGAAATGGTTGAAGAAATTGACCCTGAAGCTATTTAACCAAAAATATATTTTTGGTGAAGAGGTGAGATTTCACCTGTTTTTTCACCTCATTCTCTCTTCGTTAATGTTGTCGTGACTTCTTCGTTAATGTTGTCGTGACTTCATTCTTCCTCTTTGAAGTTATCGAAATATTCTGTTATTTTTTCCTTCAGTAATGGTAAGTCTTCTTTGAAGGTAAGTATTGTGCAACCTTTGATGTCATAGTGTGTTTGAGGAAGAGTATTTTTGACAATTTCTTTTATTTGCTCATTCGGTGTCATTGAAATCGGTAAGTTTTCACGATAGAACCAGTTTCTGTCAGATTTATATATTTTAGCAAGGTCGTAAAAGCTTTTGTTGTTTCTTCTGACTAAATGCAACATAACCATATCTCTGTCTTCTTCATTCTCCAACTCTTCAGTATAAATCATATACTTATAGTTCTTTTCCTTTCCTTTTGGTACTGAACGCGGTATTCTTTTCTGTATGCTTTTGTCTTTGGATTCAATGACTTCATCTTTTGCTTGAAGTTTCTTTTCCATCTCTCCACGTTCTTGTCTGTGAAGTTCGTCAAGAAGTTTGTAAATATTCCAAGCATAACGTGGTGAAGCCCACATTGCAACTGCATTTACTAAAAGTCTATGAACATAATATCCTCTCAAACCGTTTGGCAATTTTTCACGGTTTTCATAGAGTTTTGGCGACTGGGATTTTTTACCTACTCGCTGTTCTTCACTGTTTTCAGAAAAAAGTACGTCTCGCTGTGCTTCACTTAATAGTTCTATGGTGCTTTGGTTCCTAAACCAGTCTTTAGGAAGCTTAGTATCTGGAGCAAAACAAGCCGTCAAAATACTTTGCATTTGGTACATGTCGTCTTTGACAGAACGAATGAGTCTCAATTGTTTGTTATACTGTATGTATTCGTATTCTTCATTTATGACTTCATGAACGATAGCAGTTGTTGTGTTCTCTAATGTTGACATATCTGTCTTTACATACAGGATAAAAAAATAAATAAAATAAAAACTAACTTTATTTTTTTTGAGATAAACACTATTTCTTCACAACATTAAATTTTATCCTGTATGAAATGACTTTAAAAAGATTATTGACTGACTTCGAATACTATCTCATTGACGCACTGACAGACCCTCAAAACTGTGTTGAAAGTTCTTTAAGCTTTAAGATTGAAGGTACGACGCATTTTGTCTTCACTTACGTATTGAAAGAATATGACCGTTATCATAACGAAGTGAATCAAACACTAATAAAATTTGTAGATAAAAAATTGGTTAACAATGAATATTTTAAACGTGAAGACCCAAACACTGCTGGAGATGATGAAGAATACAGACAAGTTATTGAAAAAAATAACGCAAGATTAGATGCAATAGAAAAGAAGTTTAATGAATGTCTTACAAACACGTATGAATATCTTATGCAGTGGGAAGCCAGATGGAAATAAATTTACGTCAAATATGCAATTTATAAAATCTTATGTCGACAGGCTACGTAGCACAGTGGTCTAAGGTGGTGTTATGGAGGGGTCAGGGTCTGTGGTTCGAACCGCGACAGCGCCGTATTTTCTTATTTTCTTTATTTGTCTTGTTTGTCGTGAATAAAAAGTGTCATAAAAGTGCTCTATCTTCCACGGGAATAAATAAAAAATTTACTTTATTTCTTCTTTATTTCTTTGTTCCCGTGGAAGAAGGGTTTTTGCCGTTTTTTCTCAGCCGAAATCAACGATTTTTTCATTTTTGGAATCCTTAGCAAATGAGGAATCTTTTCTCTCGTGGAAGCTTTGACCAAAAATATAATTTAGGTGAAGAGGTGAGATTTCACCTCTTTTTTCACCTAATTTTTCACCCTCATGACTTTGTCATAACTTCTTCGTAAATGCTTTGTCATAACTTCTTCGTAAATGCTTTGTCATAACTTCTTCGTAAATGCTTTGTCATAACTTCTTCGTAAATGCCTTGTCAAGATTTCATCGTAAATGCTTTGTCATGACTTCTTCGTAAATGAGTGTAAATGACCAAAAATATAATTTAGGTGAAGAGGTGAGATTTCACCTCTTTTTTCACCTAATTTTTCACCTCTTTTTTTCACAAGCGTTTTACATGAATTGTACGATGTATATTTGAAATCCTAAACAGTTTTGTAGCTTCTATTTCTTCGCTGAGGATATCAAAAGTTTTAACAATGCCGAAAGTCTCTTTATATTTCTTCTTGACGTCAGATAGAAGGAAATCTTCTACTGTTGGATAGTTTTTGTTCAGAAATGCTAACATGTCCATTTTATCTTCTGCTGGCTTTTCTGCTTCTTTCTTTAAGTCTGCATAGTCGTTTCGCATTCTTTCTATCTCTTTGACGGAGTAGTTATATTTCCTTATTGCTGCTTTACATTTTGAACATTGTGGGTTCATTTTTGCATTATACATTGAAATTTGACCTGCTAGAACAACTAAAGCGTCAATTGCTCTCTTCATCTCAAACATAGCGGGTCTTAGTTGTTCGTTCCATACTTTGCCTCTTCTATCTTTATCTCTTATTTCCCAAACACATTCAGCAACTAACGAAACAAAGTTGTCGTAGGTCTTAAATTCTTCAGATTTATATATGTCAGAAACATTCTTATATACCATATCGCAATCTTTGTCCATAACTTTATGGTTGCAATGAAAACCAAGGAATTCATAATTTACTTTACGTATGAACTTCTTTATTTCTACTGAGTCAGTTGCTTTGACTTCAATTTCGTCGAATTCAGGAATAGTTAGTTTTTGATGCTGAATTTCAGGTAGTTTAGGTAAATGGTCGATGAGGTCCTCCATTTCATAAAGATACTGTTCATTTGTTTCATCTTTCGCACTACAGTCTAAATTACTTGTTAAAAGTTCCTGCTTAATTTTTTGTATTTCTGTTTCGAAAGTAAATGAAGAAGGAATGAAGCTTTCCATCTCTACTAACATAGATGTTGGATTCATGACTAACGAGTTTGGTGAAGTTGTTGTGGACAGAGTCCCGCCGTTCGCGGCTTGAATTGTTGTTGTGCCGATTGTTGAAATCATATCTTTTATACAAAATAAAAAATAAATAAAAATAAAACTAACTTTATTTTTTCTATCTTAAGGAAATTCACGAAAATTCAAGAGGTGAAAAAACAGGTGAGAAAACAGGTGAAATCTCACCTCTTCACCTATAATATATTTTTGTCTGATTTACATCCAACGAAAAAGTTTAGAAGAATTTTCTTATTCTTTCTGGCATGTTTTTATCTTTCCAGTACTCCCGCTCTAATGGTCCCAGATGAGTTGGTTTAGATTCTCTCAAGTTCTTAGATGGTATAACATCTTCAACGCCTCCTTCATATCTTACTTTATAAGTGTCATCGTTTATGTTGTAGTCAAGTATTTCAATAACCACTCCTCGCTTTGCTTCGTCAATGGTTTCAGCAAGTTTGCCATTACTACTTTCGACTAATTTATGACGAGGGTAAAATGCTATGGAGTCGTCAGCAGCTTTTATAAGATATCCATTACCTTGCGTAGAGTCTACGATATAATAATTTCGACTTAACCTTAAACGTTTCTTTGTCAACGGTTTGTCGTCAAGAACTACACGAACTTTTGTTCCAGGAATGAGAGTAAATTGTGTTGAATTTCTGATATTTTGTGTTTGACTTCGTTTCTTTTGTATATACTTTTCTTCTTGTTGTTGTGTCATTGAATTTGGTGTATGTCCTGTTGTAGAATGTGTTGAGGAATTGTAAACTTCGATGAAATGTTTCATTGTTTCTTCGGTAAAGTCTCGCTCTTGATTTAAATCTCTGAGAGTCCTTATGAAGCGGTTAATGATACCGAGTATGTTATGGTTATGGTCTTCAGTAGTGTAGTGAGTTATGTTATGCTTAATGAGAAATTCTGTGATTTCGTTGCTGAGGTATGCACCGTCTTGGTCTGATGTTAAAATACTTGGGCTATGTTCTGCTACAAACTTTTGTAAAACTCTTAACACTTCATGAGTTCCTTTATTTCTCATTATATACGCAAAAGCTTTGCGAGTGTTAACATTAATGAAGATGAGGAATGGTTTATGTCCTCCTTTTCTGCTTTGAATGAGAGTGTCAAATTGGTATGCGTCAGGAGTGTTGGAGTAAATTGGTAAAAAGTAGTCGTAAGGATTTATTTTTGTTTGATGTACAACATTTTTGTCAAAGAACCTTTTCACTTCAGCTCTGTTAGTAAATCCCGAACTCTTTGCAGCTTCATTGAATTTCTTAAAAGACCTCCATGGATGTTGTTCGAATACTTCTTTCAAGCTCATTTATGTAAAGTTAAAGATTTTAACCAACTCGTATCCAAGCGTGCATTGTTATATAAGGAGGCATATAATCTTTTCCATTACCTGCTGGGTCTGTAATACCAGCTACAACATGTGTATGATTTCCTGCAGTTCCACAGAAAATACCTGTGCTAACATCTTTGGGTCATCTGAGATATCATATCTATTCATTCCCTGTCTATTCGAACCCGCTGCAAGAATTTATATAACCTCTTTTTGTTATTGAATGTGAATGGTTTCCTTCCACAGATGTTCTTCCACTGAACCTATGCATATGTGAAGGAAGGTTTTCAATACCTATTTTCTTTGAACCTCCCATCTTCATTGACTGCGTATTAGTGTAGAATGGAAAACTGTCAACTATTTCATACCATCTACCACCAAATAAAGTGTTTGGATTTATTGGATTCATAGACGTATAAACAGCTCCTATAGGATATATTAAATCATATATGCTCATAACTCTATAAACATATTCTAAAGAACTTATGTCATTAAATACCATTTGGAATGTATCTCCCGGATGAAATGTTGCATTTGTTCCACTTTTATAATGTAATGTTAGTTCAATAGAATTATCCAAGAAAAATTCAAAAGTATCTGGTTGAAGACCTCTAACAAATTCAAATGGAGTTGCTGGTTCACCATTTATAATTTCTGTTGTAAATGTCATTGTATCTGGTTTCGAAAATTTCTTTGTTAGTTCTGTATCCACATAAGTTTTGTCGGCTTTCTTATCTAACATTGCTGGTAGTTCATATGCTTCAAAGTTTCTGGCATGACTTTCAATGTTCCTGCAACTGTTATCTAAACTGTTAAGAGTATCTTTTACGCTTGTACTCGGATTCTCTAAAGGTGCACTTGAACCCAAATCATAGTTCAATATTATGTCGTCTGCTCTAACAGTAGTGAAGGATTTATGTGTATGATTTTTGTCGGCTTTACTGTCTAAAGAAGTTTGAAGTTCATTTATATCGGAGATATTGTGTTTATGAGATTTCAAAACTTTGTTCGTTGCGTCAAGTTCTGTTTTGTCAGCTTTACTTTTAATAGCATCTTCAAAAGTTATTTTTGACTTAACTCTCAAAGTAAATCTTGGTTCAACTAATACACCGTTAACAAAGAAGTATGAAGCATAAATTTCAGCGTTATAACCAAATGATTGTGGTGCTATACCTGTGTCATACTGTACAGTACAGTGTATGTCATAACCTTTAGCACGAATGAATTTATATCTTCTTTCATTAACATTTTTCGTATTCACTTTTTCACCCTGTGTTAAATATCCATGATAGTCCGTTATAATCTGTTCATCAGAACTTATATAATGAACATGGTTTTTGTCTGCTTTATTGTCTAAAGAAGTTTGAAGTTCATTTATATCGGAGATATTGTGTTTATGAGATTTCAAAACTTTGTTCGTTGCGTCAAGTTCATTTTTGTCCGCTTTACTATTTAATGTAGCTTGAAGTTCATTTATATCGGAGATATTGTGTTTATGTTCTTTATCTGCTTTTTCGGCTAATTTCTCTTCTATCTCATTTATTTCAAGTTCATGCCTACCACCACCTCCCGAAGAAGTATTTTTCTTCAGCTCTTGAAGAACGTCCACTTCGCCATCTTTGGTGTCAATAATGAGACTTTGAGTTAAAACCTTTCCTGTCTTAATGGATGTTTGTAAAACTTCTTCTTCACCGTGTTCGGGGTCATGGTCGTCGTCATATCTTGTGAAATCAGAGATGTTGTCATACATTAAGCATATCTGTCTCAAAAGTTCTGCTATTTGGAATTGGAACGAAAGATATACAGAACTTTCATCATCTCCTAAAGTCAAGTCTGCTTTCTTAAGTATTTCTTGAATGTATGCAATGAGAACAGAGTACCTTGGAAAATATTCGAACAATATTTCATTAGCTGTTGGTTTTGGTGGTTCTTCTGGAGTTTCTGTTGTTTCAGTTCCTTCTGGAGTTTCTGTTGGAGTTTCTGCATCTCTTGACTTCAATGCTCTTGCTCTCAAAGACCTAAATGTTAGAGCACCGGGTTTTACAAAGGACTTTATAAATGCTTTAATAGTTCCTGGTAAGTTATTGTTAGCATTAAGTAAGTTCCTTATGCTTCCATCATGTACGTCCATAGCACTATGTAAAAAATCTATACTTTTCTTGTAGTCAGCAATAGACTGACTGTGATTTTTTAAAGATTTGTCAATACCTTTAAGCCAATCTTCATGCATGTCTGATACTGAGCCAAGAATATCATTTGCTTCCTTTAGTGTATTTTGTGCTTTTCGTAAAGTATCCAATCCCGTACGTGCATTGTTTGCTATACGTCTTACAGTATCTATTTGACTCCTTGTTTCTTGCATCCAACCAGATAAAGTTTTAATAGTATCCGAACCATTTGAAATGAAGTTCAAAGCATTTTTAACATCATCTAAAGCTTCTTCACCAAGTACTGCCCATATCTTTCCGATTTGGTATTGAAGAACTCCATATGAAGCAGCTGTTAAACCAGTATTTATAAGGTCCCATATCCATGATTTAGCAGTTTTTCCATCCTTTCCATCCTTTCCATCCAAACCGTTTTCGCCTTGAGGTCCTTGTATTCCTTAGGTCCTTGTATTCCTTGAGGTCCTTGTATTCCTTGTGGTCCGGTGTCACCCTTCTCTCCTTTCAGTTCATCTTTATGTTCGTTATAATATTCTAATGTCATAAGGTGTACATCATTACTGCTACCAGCAACTCCTAATATTTGTTTCTCATTCATGACTAAATTCTTTAGGCATTTAATGTTGTCGTCAAATCGAAAGCTCTTTAACAATTCAATGAGAACATTCAGTACTTTCACTAATGAGGCATCTACTGTAGAATTTATATATTGCACCGTTCCATCATTTATGATAGGAACTTTACTTATTGTAATGAATGGGTCATAAGTGTTAAAAGTATCGAAATCAATGACTTTTTTAGTTTTTCCATCGTCAATGACTAAATCATTGCCTTCAATGGTTAAAGTTGAGTTTTCGTTTACTAGTTCATGTGCTCTTCTTGCTTCATTTGTTTCATACGCATATGCAGCAATAGTCATATTTTAATGAGAATAAAATGTTGTTCTATTTGCAAAGTACTGACCCAAACGAATACGGAACAGTAAAGCTACAAACAAACTTAGGTCTTCAGAATGAAGCGCTTGCTTTCAGAGTTGTTGACTTCAATACTATCGCAACTTTTGTCATAACAGATGAAACAGATTTCATGGAGTTTGAAATAGATGGAAAGAAGCATGAAATAAGATTTCACAATAATGTAGAATATAAGATGGAAACATTAGCTGGAGTGTTAAATGCGCTCATAAATACTACAATAAACAAGGAGAACGAAGAAAACTTAATGAATGTTAAACTTATTGCAGGAGTTTTGAAGTTCAGTTATGCGAAGGAGTTTAAGATAACACGAATGAGTCATAGAGTTCAATTGCTTCTGGGAGCATACCATATGACATTTCCTTTGAAAAGTTTGACAAAACGATTGAGATGAAATCTGTTCCATACGTATGTTATGGCAATTGTTTATACATTGAGTCAAAAATAGCTAATGTCACAGGTATTTCAGGAGTTAATAGTAAAGGTTCAGTAGAATATAAGTCTTTCTGTTATGAAGTAAATTCAATGTTCATTCCAAACGTTCCTGTCATAGCAACTCATTTAGGTAAATGGGTTCGCATTAGTCCTCATAATTTGAAAGACATGCAATTCAGACTAGTTGACTTTCAAGGAGAGCCTGTAGAACTGAAGGCACCAGTGCGAATGACTGTTGAAGTAGACTTTTTAGAAAATATTAAATGCAACAGCTTACAAGAGAACTCAGAGCTAAAAATATAAAGTATGAATGTTATGTATTAGGTCATGAACTTTGGTTGTTGCTGTTTGATGAAACAAATGAGTTAGTTATGTCAGTCAAGAGAACAGAAAAAGGCGTCAAAGGCGCCGAGCGCAAAGCGCTATATTGTGTTAGTGAGAACTGCACCAAGTCAATAAGATTAGGTTTGCATTATGAAGATGAGTTCGATACTGTTGAAGAAGTTTTGGATAGATATTACAAATTGCTAACTTGAAATTTTTTTGACTAACGGCGCAAAGCGCCAAGATGGGCTCAAAGAGCCCTCCTGACTGCTTTAATTTACTAAAACATATTTCAAACATAATTTATATTCTGTTGAAAGTTTTGTATACTCGTTCGAATATTTATACTTAAACTCAACTCCTGGAGTACCTGGTATTTCAATGATGCGGATGTTACCTATTTTCATGAATGGTGGCGTTTGACCACAGCATTCGATTTCAGGGTCGAGATAGTCAATGACACATTGTTTCCCTGTTATTCGTGATATAACATTTTCAAGGTCCTCCTTTGTTAGAATTATTTGGTTCTTGCTTATAAGATTTGTCAAAAGCTTCTTATCGTCTTTGAGTAAGATAGTTTGATATAACTGAAGAAGGTAATGGTCTACGTTATCTGAAGGATTTGTTTGAACATTTGTGTAAGGGTTGTCGTTGGCTTCTCTTGAAAGAATTTGGTCCAGTGGTGGATACTCTAACTTAACATCTGATGTAGCGTTAGCGTTTGAAGCTGAGTTTAAATTCACGGCGCCATGCGCCAAGATGGGCTCTTTGAGCCCTCCCGACTTAAGTTCTGGTTCTTTTTCTTTCAAACACTCCGAACTATAGTTCTTTATGACAATATTGTTTGTCGTTCGTGAGTCAACATTTGATGTTGGTTCAATTGGAACATTAACGGCACCAGCTAAGATGGATTTGCTTCTCATTTCATATAGAATAAAAACCTTTTATATGTATGAAATGAACAATATACTCGACAAGGGTTTGAATGTAAAGCTAACGAATGAAAATATTGTTGAATTCACTGAGACAGGTGCTGTGTATAAAGATGTAGAACTACTGAACAAAAGAGCTAAGGGAAGAAGCAGGAACATGAACAAAGGGTGGAAGCCTATAAAAATTTATGTCAATGATGGCTCAGGAGGTTCAAACATAAAGTATGCAGAAAGTTATAGAGTTTATGCGCTAAAAGGTGAAAAGCCTTCATTTAAGAACAGCTATTCTAACGCATATCCTCAAAAGTTAACGGATGGGGAAGTGGATGATATGAATGACAGCAAAAATATTAACAGAAATGGCGACAGAGATGCATGGAATTTGTTTACCATCAGTCAATTGAAGGTTAAACTTTAAAACAATGTTGGTCGTTCCCATGGAATATTTTTGACTTTAATGGTATTAGTCATGATATGAATCTCAAGGTATGAACGAGGAGAGATGAGAGACTTATATGCTTCCCAAATTTCTTCAAAAGGTAATGTTATACCTGACTGTTTCCAAATGAGTTCAATATCATAGCGTGAGAAACCTTGAAAGATAACGAAGTCAGTTATGAGACGTTTTATGTTTAAAGCTAAAAACCTCCATGTTTGCATAAGTATTGCTACAGTTAAGTGGTAATGTCTGACTTTAGTAATGATGTTAGCTAATGGTGAGTCAGGCTTTGACACTAAACCTTTTCCGGCGAAGTCGTCGCAAACGAGCAGAGTGTTTGAAGGATACTTTTTGAAGGGGTATTTTGAAAGTTTTGACAGAATGTAGTTTGTAAGTCGTTTCATATCGTAAACTCCTGAGTATTGACGTAAGTGGTGTTTGTCAATAATTCTTTCCATCTCTTCTGAAGTCTTTTGCATTCCTGACTGTATAAATTCAACGATGGCATAATATTTCCTCTTACGTCGAATGTAACGTTGAAGAAATTCAATGAGTTCGCTATCTGGAACTTTAACGACAGAGGCTTGAACTTTTGACATAAATGTTTTCGCTGTTGAGTCCATAGAGTCTGAAGTTGCTGATATAATGATTTGGTCATAATATGAATCTTGACCTAAACGCTCTGTTATGAGTATATGACGAATGAGGTTAAATGTCTTACCTGACCCCATCTTTCCACAATAGAAATAAACACCATTTGAACAGAACTCATAGTCCTTACTGAAAGGAAGAATAAGAGAAGAGTTAAGTTTGTCTGTAGTTTCATTCATGTCTTCATCTACGTCATGTATTAAATGCTTCATTTTATCTCCATTAAAAATGCAAGTCAGAAATATTCAGAACATAGCACCGAGTCTAACTGACAAGAGTATAAAGATATACTATGAACACGTTATGATGAAACCAACCAAAATTCAAGAAAGTCAGTATACTTATGAATATCCAAGACACTGGGTAGAGTATGTAGGAGGTGAGAAAGCTATTGAAATAAGACAAGTTAGAAGTATTCCAGCAGGAAGGACAATATTATTGAAGAACTTTAATGTTTTGAGATATAATGATGAGACAAAGAAGCAAGATAGTTTTCCTATTGCTGTGTATGTGAACCTAGACACAGGAGATGACATGAAAGTTTTTAACACAAAGCTTCAAACGGTAGTGAGAGAACAACTGACTGCGGAAGGACACCCATTACCTTCAGAAGTTACCATAGCGTATAATTTTGAAACAAATGCAATAGATTTTAAAGTCGTCTCTGCAAAGAAGTCAGGTTTTACATTTAATGAAGCAGATGTATATTCGAATGAAAACTTCAAAGCTATTGCATGGTTAGATAATGACGATTGCTTTAAGAAAATATTTAAATTCAGTGACTCAACGATGTCAATAGATGACCTTCGTGGAATGTTACCATCGACGTTTACAGTAGAAGGTTCAGCAGGATTGCTTACAAGATTGTCAATTGGTGGTATTTGGTCTCGTGAGAACATTGTTATAAAATCCAGTATAAGTGAATTTGCTGAAGAATCTATATTATGTCTTTCAAACTATATGTATTCGCCGCCGAAGCATTATAGTATAACAAACTTTGTCAGTAAGTTTAATATAAGACTTGTTGAACCTTCTTCAATGAAAGATGTTGTGCTACCCAAAGACGGAAAGGATGGACTCATTATTGAGATGATTTTAATAGCATATTAAATGAGCTTGTTTTTAAAGGTCATTCATGATGAAATAACTGTTGTAGAAGATGTTAGCAATTGTTCAGACATTTTGAAGCGTATAGATGAGATAAGAAAGAAGTTTATGAATGAGAATGTTTATGTTTCATTGACTTTCTCCAGTAAAGAGAACTTTTATGAGATAATATTGAAGAGAGATGATTTTAATATGGTGTAAATGGTAGCTTGGGCAGCTTTAGGCGCAATGGGAACAAAAGCATTAGCATTTGGAGCAAAAGCACTTGGGGCTTATGACGCAGTAAATAAAATGAGTGGAGGAAGAGTTTCGAAGACATTAGATGCAAATAAAGGAAAGATTGGAGGCTGGGTTGCAAAGAAGTTAAGATTAAATAAAATAGGGCTCATAAATAAAGCATCCAATTTGGTTGCGACTGAGTCAGAAAATGCTTTAGGAAAGGACGATGAGTTTGCAAAACATGCAAAAGACTTTAATGACCAGATGAAAGGTGAAACAATGCATTTAAATAGAGTCGATGGAACTAAAGAAAATGTTTCTTCTCCACCAGTAGTTCTTCCGTATGGTCCCTATGGAATGTATGGAAACCCTTACGAAAGACCATTTGACCCATTGACTGGTGGAAGTAACTGGTATCATTACGGACGAAGAAGAAAGACAGTTAAGCTGGAGACAGACGTGAAGAAAGCAACTAAAAAGAAACCAAGGAAGAGAGTTATAAAGCAATGAATTCAACATGGTTAGAAAAGAGGTTAGAAAACGTGTTAGATCTAACATTCTAACATAAACATTATTTTTGTGCTATGTTTTCATACGTGTGAGGTGGTGATATCATTTATTTTAAGTTTATTTTTATTTTACTGAAAATTTTTATTTTATTTTTAAGTTTATTTTTATATAAATGACGAAAACTATTGAGATAACAAACTACAACGGTCATGAGTTCAAGAATTTGTTCTTCGTTCCTCGTGAAAATACATTCTATCAGATACGAGGGAGAAAGGGTAAAGTTAGTTTGAGCGTTTATGAAGGAATGAAGAATGGAAAGTTTATACAAGCATACGATACAAACGGTAAACGTGTTTCATTAGCTTTGTCAAAACTTACTAACATTTATTTTGACAGTGACTTTGACTCTGACGATTGGAGCGACAGCAGCGATACTGAAGAATATGAACTATTGTGTGAAGCACAGCAATGGGAAGAGTTGCAATACTTTTGTAAGTGAGAACGTTTATTTTTACAGTAGTAAGGTGAAGTGGTTGGCGGCTTTATAAATATTTAAGGTTAAGTTGGTGTTTGTGTTTGTGTTGTAAAATATACGTTACTGGTTTTGTAAAGTGTCAAAACAGCTAAGTGGTGTATGGAGGCGCGCAGTGCCTCAGTACACGACTTACCCATACTAACTTTTGTTATGCCAATGTACTTCTCTTCATTTATGTTCACAATCCAGTCTGTTGGAAACTTAAACGTTACTCTGTTCCCCTTTATTTTGACGTCAGGGTTTTCACTACTGAACGCAACAGATAAAGGTATTTGTCTATACATTTAGTTCCGATAAAAATAACACATTTACTCTTTCTTTGCTTCAGCTTCTTTAGCTTTTTGTTCTTCCTTTGCTTTTGCTTCTTCTCTAGCTTTCTTCGCCAGCAAACGTGGGTTCTTCTGTCTTCCAGCAGCTAATGCAGCAAGTTGTTTTTCACTAAGTTTTCTCTTTGGTCTCTCTGGCTTTTGTTCTTGTTTTTGTTCCTTCAGTTCGGATAAAATTTGCTCACGAATTTCTTTCTTCAATGCTTCAACATCTATGACCCTTGGGTCTTGTCCGTAGGGCTTGTCTGAGTCATTTGACTGCAGATAAAAAACAAAATTAAAACTTTAACCGATGTAAAATGAGCTTGTCAAAATCAGAGCGAGAGTCTATTATATTAAATGACGCAAGAGGAATACAACATCCTTTCTATTACGTAAGTCAGAGTAAAGATGGTACAATATACGTAAGAAAAAGAAAGGTTCCATTAGCGAATGCAGAAAGCGACAACATTAAGGTGCATGGCACCGAGGGCGAAGCCCATGTTAAGCCTTCTATTCAAACTGAAAAGTCAATAGAACCAGAAGAAAAGAAGCCAGATGTACTTTCAATAACGAACCAAGAGCTTATTGCAAAGTTCGTGAATTTCATTGAAAAACAAACCGAGTCAAAGAATCCTGACCGCCAGTGAAAGAAGTTGAGACAAAAGAGAATGTACAGTTCATTGAAAATGTCAAGAAACAACTTCCACCACGAATGCCAAGAAGAAGAGTGAGAATAATGAAGTAAATAGATATTTTTATCCGAATCAAAGACATGCAGAACGAACAGTTAAACAAATTTACTCCAGCAGAGCATATTCATCAGATTCGCTCATATTTCGATATCATAGACAATGCAGTTCAAATTGGGGACACTAATAGAAAATATTCTGACGCAAAGATTCCATCACAACCTGGAACTGCTAAAGATAACACATGGGTAACATTCAATCTCTCACCTCCTGGTGAAAATATGTTGGACCTTTACAATACATTCATTACGTATAAAATGGAAGGTCAATTTATTGTAGATAAAGAAATTGGTTCAGGTTCCAATAAAATAAACCCACCAGGATTTTGGATTGGCTTCGATGACGCTTTCTATGCAGTTGCTGGATATCAAATCCTTGCAAATGGTCGTATCGTATATTCTCAAGACAACGCAAGAGAAGAAGCATATATAACTTCAAACTCACAAACTACCGAACAAATAAAGAAAGTAGATGTTTTCTCAAAGACTCGACATGAAGATGTATGGAGTCATTCGGGAACATGCAGAACAGGACAAATTGTTAGTGGTCCAATTACAGCAGGAAAATCATTTGATTTTAAGCTTCGTTTAAGAATTCCTGTTAGAAGATTCCTTCCATTAGAAGCTATTCGATTTATTCCAGCTTTTGCAGGAAACATTCAGCTTAAAGTAAAGTTCAGTAGCGACGCCTTACAATGCACATCTATATCTGTAAATGATATCATTGCTTTCAATTCAACTCTTAAAGTTGCATTTGCTTCAGATTCAAATCCACCGACAAATAAATTTGTTCCATGGAATGAACCATTCACTATGATAACGAAGTCAGTAGAAGCTAGTGGAACAGTTACTATTACAACTGTAACCCAGCAACTATTTCGAACAAAGATGGATTTTAATGAATGTTTCATTCATCCAAAGTCATTCTCTTTAGACCCTAACATTTATACAGAACTTGTAGAACATTATACAAACGAGGCTTTATGTTTTCCTGTTAAAGTTATGGATTGGATTCCTATGGACGGTTCATTCTCAAAGAATACAGATAGTTCAAGTGCAACATTTACAGCAGCTTATACGCCTATTAATGTTAAAAGTATTTGGGCACTATTTAGAAAGAAAGACAACTATTATGTTAATTTTGAGAACCCTAAGTTTAAATATCTTCAGCTTTCCATGGGAGCTTATGGAAATATGCCTGCAGAACCTGAAAAATCATATGGACCTGTATTTTATGAAATGGTTGCGAACGCTTGCAATACAAACAATGATATGATAGGATTTAATGAAGATGTTATGAGGTCATTGGTGGATGATGGTAGTGTGGAACATAAATGGGATAGCTATGACAACACACATTTCTTATGTGGTTTTCCAACAGAAGTGGACTTTTGCTTCCAGCAAGGTCAAACATCTACTGCTCCAATAACATACAAATTGTCTGTTAAAGGACCTATTGAACTAGCAACTGAAAATGTACCAAAGCCACTTATTGGATTTATGAGGGATTGTTGCTTTGCCATTCAGGTGCGTGCTAATGGAATCCCCATAATAAGATTAGATGACTATAACTTAGCTACGGACGACAGTGAGGAATAAAGGATGAACGTTTATTTTTAAAGCTTATAAATGAGTTCTTCATCAAGCTCTCGTGAACCTTCACCATCTGTGAAACAAACTTTACCAAACGATTATGGAGCACCTATTGAATATTTCTTACGAGCTGCACAATGGCAAAGAGCAGTCTCACCAAGGTTAGGTGTTCCACCAGCTCCTGTCAAAAATAGCATTTGGTCAAGTCCTTATATAAGATATGGTCTCCACTAGGTTTGCTAGCTACAGCAGGAGCAGTTATGATGTTGAAAAGAAATAAAGCAAATGTTGTAAATAATACTGAAGTAGCTGAAGTTAAACAAACTCCAACACCTTCGCCAAAACCAACGCCTTCACAAGCAAAACCTTCAATGACTCCTGAACCTATGGAAGTACAAACTCCTGTTCAAAAGTCAACTCCTAAACCGACTCCAACATTTAAACCAGAACCTACTCCTCAAATAAATCGTAAAACTCCTGCGTTTCCTTACTGAAAAAATAACGTTATTTTTATTTAATATTAAAATTTTTATTTGATTGAAATGACAAATAAAGTCACTGAAGCAATGAAACAAAAGTTTTTGGTAGAATACATTAAATCAGGAACTATTCCAGAAGGTTTTTACATTCATACTATGAAGGATGGTAGAGTTCAGTTTAGAAAGATAAAGCAACCATTAGATAGAGAAGGTATATTAAGGAAGATTAAACTTCATGAGGACAACATTGCTGAACTTAAGAAGAAGTTAGAAGAGTTGGAGAAAGGAAGAGAGTTATAAAGCAATGAATTCAACAGGGTGAAAAACCGGGTGAAAAAAGAGGTGAGATTTCACCACTTCACCTAAATTTATTTTTGTGCTATGTTTTCATACGTGTGAGGGTGGTGATATCATTAATTTTTAAGTTTATTTTTATATAAATGACAGAACAAAATAAAGCATATCTACTCAACAGGAATGAGACCCTTACTGACTATGTATTCGTTTAATGCTTGATGAAAACAATGGTACATATTATCGTATGGGTATACACAACGTCTGTTTCCATCGTCGTCGTATATGTAGAGCTCAAATCCAGTCCAACCTTCTTTTGTACAATATGTAGCTTTATTTAAGTATGCATTTATGTAGATAAGGCAATTTTCTTCATCGCTCCAGAAATAATTTTTGTTCTTTGTTGAAATAGTTTTCGTTCCTCTGCGACCATAAGGAATGTATGCAATGAACTTTGCGTCATAAGGGATTGTAATATATTCAGGGTTTCTTTCATCGTCAATGGGTCTGTCTTTGTTAAAATGCATGTTTCTCAGTTTTACTTGAGTTTTGAATAGTTCACGGAAACGTTCTGGGAAAGAGTCATAGTAAATGTAGTCAGACATGTCTTTGTAATGAAATAAAAAATTAAATAAAAAATAAAAATAAGGTTATTTTTATTTAGTGAGGACGGTAGTGAATTCGTTAGTGAAGTCGTTAGTGATGTCGTTAGTGAAGTCGTTTATGTGTCAGACGGTTTTGTAAATATTTAAGGTTAAGTTGGTGTTGTGGTTGTGTTGTAAAATATACGTTACCGGTTTCGTAAAGTGTCAAAACCGCTAAGTGGTGTACGGAGGCGCGCAGTGCCACAGTACGCGACTTAGTCTTACTAACTACTGGTGCTTCAAAACCTTGAAATGTGATTCCGAGATGTTGTTTGTTCCATCTCCTTCATTTCTATAGCGAAGCATCCACCTGTCAAGATGATGGCGCCACTGTCGGTCAAAGTATTCACGGGCAGCAGGTTCCTCATTTAAAATTTCTTCTAAATTGTTGTAAACTTCATCAGGATCAATTTCTTCCTCTTCAGAACCAAAGACCAATAACTTCATTAAGTTATAGAAAGTTTCGAAGTTGGAACGATCTTGAAACTTTTCAGCCTTTCTCATGACAGCGCGCAACACATGAATGCCACACCAAATGATCTGGCATAAGGGGATGGCTGTTTCAACAGCATTTGTGATTTGAGGTGCGCAGTCCATTGAAAAATAAGATGGTTCGCGATTGATGGAGCCAAAATATGCTGTGAGACAAACTTGTATATTTTCACTTGTGTCGGGCCAAACGAAAAAATACAAAAACGGAAAAACAATTGATTCCGCGAATTTGCCAGTGACGCCATAAAATGGTATGCGAGAGCGCAAGAGCTTATAAGTGGAATCAATGTGATAAGTTTGTATTTGATGTGAAAAAGCATTTGCTTCGAATGGGTCGTAATAGAAAATCATACGATCTGGCTCGTGAATAAACTCGATGAGATCATCTGGAGAATGACTCTTAACCATGTCGACAAAAATTGCAAGAGATGTAACATCATCCGCTGAGAAACGGGTATTGATTGCATGAAGGCGTTTAGAAAACTTTTTTAAAGCATCTGTAGATTGTTGAAACATTTCCGGAATGATCCCACTATCAAATGGGATATTAAGATCTTTGAAACACCTTAATTGTGCGTAAACACGGTCTTGATTTGATTCAAAATATCTTGTTAAATAAGATCTATAAAAATATGATGTAATTTGTTGTGATTTGTTTGGAAAAGGGGCAGAATGATTGTGGGTGTTAATACATTTTCGTATGTGGTACTTGTCATCGGGAAGTGTATCAACAAGGAAGCGACATGGACAATTCGGCCACTTACAATTAAATTGGATTTGATTTCTTTCTTTCCTAGTTTTATATGAATAACTACAACCTGCTTGGATTTCTTGTTGCACTCCATACTTAAGCAACTCGATATATGTGAGTTCGTGATCTTGGATCTGCATTAAAATGAAATGATTTGAAAGAATAAAGAATTTTGAATATATTGGTCTTATTTTGATAAGCTTGGTCGTGTTTTGAATAGCTTGGCCATCTAATTCAATTATGATCTTTGAAAATTAGGTGAAATAAAACTAAACATAAATGTAAAACTAGGGATATGAAATTTTGGTTGTACACCACTTGTATGTGCCGGATACCATTGTGTCAAATTTTTTCTGAAATTAACTTTAAAAGTACTAAGTAAGATCATGAGATATAGCAATATATGTTTAAACCAACTTATATTTTGGTTGTACACCACTTGTATGTGCCGGATACCATTGTGTCAAATTTTTTCTGAAATTAACTTTAAAAGTACTAAGTAAGATCATGAGATATAGCAATATATGTTTAAACCAACTTATATTTTGGTTGTACACCACTTGTATGTGCCGGATACCATTGTGTCAAATTTTTTCTGAAATTAACTTTAAAAGTACTAAGTAAGATCATGAGATATAGCAATATATGTTTAAACCAACTTATATTTTGGTTGTACACCACTTGTATGTGCCGGATACCATTGTGTCAAATTTTTTCTGAAATTAACTTTAAAAGTACTAAGTAAGATCATGAGATATAGCAATATATGTTTAAACCAACTTATATTTTGGTTGTACACCACTTGTATGTGCCGGATACCATTGTGTCAAATTTTTTCTGAAATTAACTTTAAAAGTACTAAGTAAGATCATGAGATATAGCAATATATGTTTAAACCAACTTATATTTTGGTTGTACACCACTTGTATGTGCCGGATACCATTGTGTCAAATTTTTTCTGAAATTAACTTTAAAAGTACTAAGTAAGATCATGAGATATAGCAATATATGTTTAAACCAACTTATATTTTGGTTGTACACCACTTGTATGTGCCGGATACCATGTGTGTCAAATTTTTTCTGAAATTAACTTTAAAAGTACTAAGTAAGATCATGAGATATAGCAATATATGTTTAAACCAACTTATATTTTGGTTGTACACCACTTGTATGTGCCGGATACCATTGTGTCAAATTTTTTTCTGAAATTAACTTTAAAAGTACTAAGTAAGATCATGAGATATAGCAATATATGTTTAAACCAACTTATATTTTGGTTGTACACCACTTGTATGTGCCGGATACCATTGTGTCAAATTTTTTCTGAAATTAACTTTAAAAGTACTAAATAAGATCATTTATTTTTGCATAATATAATGCCAATATGGTTTCTTTTGATTTTATTTCATTTATAAGCAAATCAGATTTACCCAAAAACTCCACTCCATAAGCGTTCATTTGCTAAATTAAAAAGTGACAATGGGCTAGTCTGTCCCTTTCTCATTCAAATATTAAACAAAGATGAAGTAATTACAGTTATCATAAACTTTATGAATAACTCTGTAATTGGTTCAGATTTTCGTAAAAATATTTTTATTAATATCGATAAGAATACGTTTACCTACTATCACAACATATCGATAAACAAGAGTAGAGTGATTTTTATCATCGAAACTTTTTAAAAGCTGTAAGCTGGAAGTAAAAATCTTGTTTTTTCTGAGTTAGTTGTAGAACTATTGATGCACGAGTTATCATTGTGATGTAGAAGGATGTCAATGTACTGACTGAAGGATATGAAGTGAATTGAATTTCATTGCATTTCAATTTGATCAAAATTTGTTGAAATGATATGAATGTGTCAACATCTGTATCACTCTCTTTCACTCCTTCCCTATTTTTTCGAGAACGAAGCTAGCTCAGCTTTCGCTGAGCGAATTAACACTTTTGATGCCCTAAACGTACATACTCTCAAATTTATCGAAAAAAATTATACCACCTAAACTAGTATATTTGTTGTAAACAGAAATTCATCAAAAGTGACACCTCAGAAAAGCTAAAATATTGAATTTTTGGAACTTTTGATAGAGCACGTTTTTAAATATTAATTAAAGTAAATGTGTATTTTGTGAAGATTCTTTTTAATAAAAAAAAATAAAATTTTGAAGAAGAACACAAAATCTTCTGAAAAATAATATCACATAAACTCATATTATTTTCTAATATATAACTATTTTATATAAAAATCAAATTCAATGATCTTAAAAGCGAAGGATAAACCTCAAAATTTACGAATATAATGCGTGGGAATATAATGCTTATCTATCATAAAACCATATGAAATATCAATTTTTGCTTTACGCCTAATTTTTGACGACAATTAGCAAAAAATGTTAAATGTTAACACTCAGTCCATTTGAATATGAAAAATAAAATAGACTTTGATTAAATGTTTTTATTTATCATGCAATTCTTCTTGCGACCAAAGATTTGAATAAAAGTTCAAAAAATAAGATAGCTTAAAAATAATATACGGTAGTGTTTACTAATAGATGAATAGTATATAAATTCTATTAAAATGGATTTGATCCAAAAAATATAAAACCAAAAATAATTGTTATAATTTAAATGAAGAAGTAATTTAAAACGATTTTATTTATGATCAAATTTTATATATTTTTTTGGATCAAATCCATTTTAATAGAATTTATATACTATTCATCTATTAGTAAACACTACCGTATATTATTTTTTAAGCTATCTTATTTTTTGAACTTTTATTCAAATCTTTGGTCGCAAGAAGAATTGCATGATAAATAAAAACATTTAATCAAAGTCAATTTTATTTTTCATATTCAAATGGACTGAGTGTTAACATTTAACATTTTTTGCTAATTGTCGTCAAAAATTAGGCGTAAAGCAAAAATTGATATTTCATATGGTTTTATGATAGATAAGCATTATATTCCCACGCATTATATTCGTAAATTTTGAGGTTTATCCTTCGCTTTTAAGATCATTGAATTTGATTTTTATATAAAATAGTTATATATTAGAAAATAATATGAGTTTATGTGATATTATTTTTCAGAAGATTTCATTCTATATGCCTATGAAAAGTACTCTCAAAACTAACTTTTTCCTAATTATAATTAAATCAAAAAAAAAAAAAAAAAAAAAAGGTAGTGGGGCTTCCAGGCACTTCGTGCCTTCTAGCCCGAGATGTTTAGATTAAAATTAAAATTTTTATTCTGAAATGTTTGCTTTAATGTTTTTTATGGATGGAAATGAACTGGATATCGTCTGAGTCTTCGCTTGTTTCCTCCTCTTCTTCTTCTTCGTCCGAATTGTCTTCATCTTCACAATAACCAGATAAGAAGATGGTTATTTTGGTTTGTTCTGGTTTTTTGAGAAGCATTTTGGCTGTGCCAGTAAAAACGAACTCAAGATTTTGATAGAATTGTCTGCTTGAGTGAGTGAAATTGCATACTGTAAGTGGCATTGCAACTCGGTTTGCTTGAACAGATATTATTGAAACTTCTTCTCCATCTGGTATCCGTTCAGGAATATCTAAAGCGGCTGTTGTGATAATATGCATATTGTTTTCGTAATGCAATTTTGGATATATTTCGAATGGATGTGCAGCTACACCAGCTGGAGCAACAATGGAAAGATTCCAGGAGAAAGAACCGTGTTTGTTTTCATCTTCTTTCCAATTGTAAGTTAAAGGATAAGGGCGAAAGTCTTTGAGTGTTTCATATAGCTGTTCTCTTAAGTTTGGTTCACAGCAAAGAATGAATTCGTCAATTGCTTGAAGAGATATCATAGTTGAAACATAAGGCAAATTCGACAAGAAAAAGTCAACCATTACTGTCGGGTTTTGAACTTTGTTTTCTAATGTTTCGACTGGTTTTATTATACTTTTGAAATATCTATCATAGTCATTGTTGTCTGTTAAGGACAAATTGTTTGGATAATCTGCAATGAGTCTTCTATATCTTGCTTCTGTTGTTGAGAATGAGAAGACACCTTCTGGTTCTGTAGGAGTGTAAGTTTTTGGTTGAATTTGAGCTTCAATTTGTGTCTGATTGGAGTCTGATTGGACTGAAACAACTTGAGCTTCTGTAGTTTGTTCGACTTCGGCAGTTTCTTTTGGTTGAATTTGAGCTTCAATTTGTGTCTGATTGGAGTCTGATTGGACTGAAACAACTTGAGCTTCTGTAGTTTGTTCGACTTCGGCAGTTTCTTTTGGTTGAATTTGAGCTTCAATTTGTGTCTGATTGGAGTCTGATTGGACTGAAACCTGTGTAACCTCTTTGGACATACTAGTAAAGTATGAAGATATAAGTGTTTGACCTTTAAAGAGCTTTTGTAAAGAATTGTCAGTCATGCTACTACTGTGGTCTTCCATTAGACAAAAATGAACTGTTTTTTTCGGACTACTCATAGAAAAGTTTAAAATAAACCGTTTTCGTCAACGGTAACCCCCTATTTTTTTATTTTATTTAATAGTTACCGTTGGCAAACCGTTCCATCTCAAATATTGAATGAACTATAAACGTTTTTTGTTTTCTATATATACTTTTTTGTCCAACGGTAAAACTTTTTACACAACGGTTTTTGAGAGTCGTCGCCGTTGACTTTTTTGTAGAGCACTCAAAATAGTATAACTTTGTCCGGACAAGTAAGGGTCTATCGTCGCTACAGGAAAAGTTACAGGCGTTCCAAGGAAGTATACTTTGAGAAGCCTTTTCCCCTTATAGAATGA